TAATTTAGTCTTGGGCTTCGTAATCACACTAAATATATGTAAATGTGATTACCTTATGGCTTGTCTACACCAAAATAAGTTTTATGTATGTATTTAAGTACTGGTTAAGCAATGCGTTAATATGCAATGATGCGTCTCTTTTTTAGAAGGTAAAATCGTTCAAGAGACACTAGATATGATTTATCATGTTACTTAACATAACTACATTTAAATGATAATAAAAACATTGGAATTTAATTTATGTTTCATCATGAGATATCAATCACACGAAACGGAGTACCCGTGGCTTTATTTGCTTTTGGTATTTTGTGATGTATATTTAATAATATCTCTTCATCTCTCACTCTCGGACCGGCTCTTCATTTGCGAAGAATATCCCAAGAGAAGTATCCATATTATAAGTATTGTAATACTGTAATACATGTATGCCGCACTATGTATATTCGAAGAAATGTATTTCTAACTATATTATAAATATAAATTTTAAATATTGGACTAATAATATATTTCTACTTCACATTTAGCTTATTAAAGTACACACAGCTTGTACAATATATTAATAGAGCTACCACGAACATGGTTACTCCGGGTCGTCACTTTTAGGAATGGCTGTAATGAGTATACGAGCCACGAAAACTGTCAGTCGATTCAATACAACTCTTCTTGATGGATCATTTCCTCGTAATTGTTCATTTTTTTTTTAGATGAGTGTAAAATAGTAGCCGTAGAACGACGTATTCTCGCTGACTTAGCTCGCGCTTGAATTGCGTTTCTTATTAGGCAGGCTATTCAAGAGACAAACAATACTGAAGAATATTAGTGCTATGTATCTATCGACAAATATTATATTGATAGATATCCTTCCAGAAATTTTCTTCCTAAAACGAATACATGAAAATACTATTCGCCACAAGTTTCGTGACGTCACATTTTAAAACCTAATATATCTAAGTATTAAAATGCGAATTTAATTATTAACAGTAATATAAGTAATCGATTTCAAATGTTTGATTTTATTTTAATAATTTCTAGATATAAAATTGCAAAATATGTAATTTCACACTAGGGAGAAGAGGAGTCTTATATATGTGACCAGCTGTGCCAAGGACATGGTGGAGGTAAAAAAAACTCATGAAGCTCGTGTGACGTAATTTATAGATGGCCCCTTATGTGTATTTACACACATAAACTTTATCACCGGTTCAAAAGTGTTAGAATTTGAGCGAATTCAATTAATCATGGTGATAAGCCCATTGATTTTATAGTAGATAAGCCATAACGAATCACAGTACTATACTTAAAGTTGTCAGTGTTTGTTTAGCTGTTTAAGTTCACAATTAATATTCATGTATTTATATAGCTATTGTTAGTTCAAGTGTAAAATGGGCCCATAATATTTTTGTTTGTTAATATTTACCAATGTATGCCTATTTATCCGTGTGGTGACTGATTAAGAATACGAAGTATCACCCCTATTCTGAATTGTAAAGCGAAGGTAACTGCATCCGTTCCTTCCAAGCGCCCTGATGCTATCTAGTCGTCTATGGTACTCGAATTCATTTTAAACCTATCTTGCTGTTTACAATACAAATGCCAACCAACCTTACCAAAAAAATATCTTTATCTGTTTCATTTATCTATAAATCGAGATCAGTTTTTATTACTATCATTGTGGGCCAAGTCATATCAGTGGATAAATTCTTAAAAGGTTCCTTCATCAAGTTATCTCCTTTTTAAACTTTCATGTTCGTTTTTTTAAGTGATGGTTACAAATTTTGGCTATGATGTTAATTAAAAAGGGATGAGGTCCTTAGTATGATGAAGTTTGCATTCATGTGTAATACTTGGCATCTGGAACGGATCATGTACTGGGGCTGTATGTTTAGGGGACCTTCTATGTATTAGTATTCGTCTTTATAGGCAAATGTAGCGCACGGATAGAAGTGTACTTTACTACTACCTACTCATTTCTGATTTAAATTCCTCAAAGCCTCCACGTGACATAATAATATAAATAAATATATTAGGATGTTGGTACCTATTATGTTGGTTTTAAACCAACATAATTATTTTAAGTATGTGTAGTTGTGTCTCTCTGAATAAACGTGTTTATAATCATGTAAGCATAAATCTTCAATGTGCCTTATATTCAAATCTTTTTTATTTTGTAAATATATTTATAGTCAACTTTACTAGATAGTTTTATTATGCATATTACATTAAATGCAAGTACTTAGCCACCAGTCCAAACTTTTGATAAAAATATTTCTAACCATAGAAAGAACGGGTATACTGTTTGGTACTAATGCGATGATGGGCCTTTGTGGTGAAGGTGTTTCCTTTTCAAATATGTATACTTAGATTTAGAAAATTTTGTTAATTTTATTGCCCTGAAAGTTTCATTAAAAGGTAAGTATAGGGAACTATATGAAATGAGGCCTAAGCCCACCAAGACATGGCATTAGCTGTCTGTTAGTTATCAGCAATCGCACCTGATCCACGAAGTGACACAGTCAAATCCAGCCTTAAATATTTCATCGACTGAATAATGATATTCCATACAGCCGTAACTGTTCAGGCATTTAGTAGTTATCCATACTATAATATTATAAATCTGAAGAGATTGTTTGTTTGTTTAAACGCGCTCATCTCAGGAACTACTGAATCTTTCAATGTTAGATAGCCCATTTATCGAGGAAGGCTATAGACTATATATCATCACGATAAGAGCAATAGGAGCGGAGCACTAATGAAGAATGTTGCAAAAACGGGCAAAATTTATTCCTTTTAAAAGACGCAGACGAAGTTGCGCGTGTCAGCTAGTGGTGAATAAAGAGACTGAAAACATTACACTCAGTTTTAGGCAGTCGTTTACAATAATTAATTTACAAATGTACAGCTGTAAAGCTACGTACATGTCACATGTGTATGTCGAAAAAATATTGAAGTTTTATAAGTATATTTAACTTGGCGCTGACCGCACAGACATTAAGCTAAGGTGCTGGGCTTCGGAACCTCACTCGATTGGTGAAAATGCAAGTGAAGAATTGCTCAACAGCGGCTCTCTGTGAGGACATGGTATCACTTCGGTCGGCCGGCGGCTCCTACGTGCCTAATAAAAGTTCCACATCAAAAATACTTTTCTCACATGGATATTAAAATCAAAGCTAGAACTAAATTTTTTAACTGGATTATCAAAATCTTTTTTAAACGGGTCTGTTTTACTAAATTATTTTTCAAATTCAAGTTCAGGGAAATATGATAATGTCTGTGAAATACGAATACTTGGTGTACTATATTTTGGCAAAACACCATCATGCAACACTGGCCTCGGAAACGATTTAGTCTTAGGTCTAGTAGTGCCTAATAAAGTTATAATTTACGGACTTCTACATGTTCATGCAAAATAAATTTTTCTTTTCTTTGTTTTTTTATTAAAGACAACGCCCGCATTAGGAATAAATCCTGTGTCGCGGGGGACTTTACAAACATACATGAAACGGACACAAAGAACACCCAGACTCAGAACAACAATTTGTGGATCACACAAAGTGTCGTCCCATGTGGGGTTTGAACTCACAACACTCGGCGCAGTAGGAAGCGGCGTGGCGACCGCTTAAACCACTACGCCATCCGTGCAGTCAACAACAAAAAATACAACAAATCAAATAACAAATAACATACAACTTTCGTTTTATTTCAAAAATATACACCATAATCTTTTAACAATATACACAATGTATTATGTACAGCTTAACATTGTTAAGCGCTTTTAAAATAAATATCTCGTAGTTCTTATCAAGTTGCACAAAAACGACTTGGAAGAATTAACTATCAGCATCAATATTAGACTATTCTCATCATCAAGAACCAAGTAGATAAATTAGAGCTGACTTATGTTTATCCACTCTATAATTAAAGGTATGTATCACATAGTACAAAGACAAAGTAACATGGACAATTTTACACTGAAAAATACTACAGTCTTATAGCTGGCTTGGCTTTCCTTTTGCTATCTAATGGTCTTTAATTGCTATGTAAGTTTTAAGACAGTTAAACTGTTATTTACTCTCAGATGTACAAAGTTACTAAATGAGTAGAGGAAATAAAGACAAGGTAGCCACAGAGAGAGAGAGAGATTATTTGTATATCAAGGCATGATAGACTAATACCGGGTTAATATTTACATTGCAGCCATAACAAATTCAGACTAGTATGTCACAAATAGAGATTTATAATAGTTCTAGATAATTGTAATTCAGGGAAGAATTTATGAAAACAAAAATAAATCTATCATATGTAAGCTTTAACAAGTCCATAGCAAGCACTCAAAATAGGAATCAGACTTTCCATGTATTTAGAGATAATGAATAAATTTAGTAGTGTATTACACACCCTTCATACAAAATAATACTTAAATTATCATACATTTAGACAAAAATTTAACATTAATTCTATACATAGTTCAATTAGGATTAGAGAATTGTGCCATTACTATACTTCAATTAAAAAATAAACAATTTTAGCCACTAGTATGTGCATTAGTCTTCTGTCAGTTACAACAATTAAAGTTAAAAAAATCTTGTTATTATTTCCATTTAATCCACAATGCATTCAATGATGGAATTTAATAATGTGAGATAATTAAACAAGCAAAATGTACAATAACTGGTAATCAATAAACTCCTTATATCATAATTTTTTGATATTAGATAAATAAATCTATCAACTAAAGCAAATAGAAAGCAATCAATGTGTCAATTTAGTAGTTCATCAATCAGATGAGTAATACTGTAAGGTATCATTTTTGAGAAAAATATTTTTGATGCTCTTTCCTTACAACCTAATAGTATTGTTTCATAGCAATGCACTAATCAGAATGGCAGTGACTAACATTACAGTACATACTGAATGATATATTTTGGTCAATCGTGCAAAAAAGCCTAAATCAGTCAAGCAATGGACAAGATGGTGCAACCATCTTTCTAAGGCATATACCCTCAAGGCTTGTTGTAGAGCCTTCTGTAACTAACTCCACTATCACAAAATTCATTCATGATTATCCTGCACAAGAATAAATGAAAGACAACTATTAGAACTATTATAGAGATCCAGAATAAGGGATTAAGTCCTCCCAAGCTGTGGCCATGTTTATGTAATGCAATTACATGGTTTTCATGAGCAGGCGCCTCTACAACTTCTTTGACATGTATAGCATGCCTTAGATCTTCCATATGCTGCTTGTCAGCTGTTATATACAATATAGCTGTAAGAGGTTCTGTCAATTTTACAGGGAAGTACTTGCGGTATGGCCCTAACTGGACAGGTGAGTCCAGACAACCCCCATCGCAAGCATAGTATGTTTTGTCTGAGCGATCTAAAGCTACAAAAATAGCTGCTTTATTATCTTCTTGTAAAATTATACTAATGTTCACATGAGTCATATTACCATAATTGACTCTGCGAAATAGGAAGTCTCTATGCAATTTTGAAGGATGAATATTATACTCTAAATGCTGATTACTGAAACGTAAACTGCCAAAACTCAGAATCATTGCCTGATTTACCCCACTCGCACCAGCTTTTAAAAGATTATGACAGCCTTGTTTTTCAAGGGTCAGTAACCACACACTGGCAACTGTATTCAAGTTAGCCAAAGAATTCAATGGTTTCCATAAATTGAATGCATCTAAGGTTGAGTGACCTTCATAGCAACCCTCAGAGTAAGTCAAGCTTCGCAGTATTTCTGACTTTGTGTTAGGTTTTATGTTCTCTTCATGTTCATAGCTTCTTACTTGAGAGAGTATAGCATATATAGTAGCATTAATTCTATCACCATTGATGATTCCTTCTGCTTTAGAGTCAGAGATATAGAATCCAGTGTACCACAGTCCTTGCCAGACTCTGGCATGGTTATCTCTGAGTGTTCTCAAAGCAGTTCTATCTCCGGTTAGCGCTATCACCTTTTCCATTTCCTCAATGGCTCTTTTCTCAACAGCATCTTTTTGTTTTGCATATTCACCTTTAGTTATTGGTTTACTGTATTGAACTGTAGTTAAGATCAGTATATCGAGTCCATCTCTAGCTTCTACTTGGACAGTGTTACTCATTTTCCTGCACACCACTGATGCAGCAATTACATTTTCACTATCCGGTATCGGTATCATTCCAGTAACCACTTCATATTCCTTTAAGTCCACACCCTGATGCAATTTTATTGTTTGTTTAACAGATGTAGGCCAGTCAGACACTCTGGGTGTGGAAAGTTTCAATGTTTTGGCAGAACTTGTGGGATTATTTACCCAAATCTCCTGTACAAATAAGGAAGGTATGGTTCTGTGTGCATAATACTGATAGGATATTTGTAACCCTGAGTTCGAGCATTGATATCTGTTGACAATACCTTTTTTATAATCAGCTACTGTGAATTCTTTCATATCATAGTCATCTATAATGTATAATGGATGATAAAACACTGGCAAAGACAAAGTTCTTCCATGCTTGATGTTCAAATGACTATCGTGTTCTAGTGCAATACCCAGCAAACCATTTCCAACATAAGGCACATAATTATGACTGAGTGAAGCCAGAGACGCCGATGACTCCTGTCTGAGATACACATCGTACTCTTTTAAAGCAGATTCGAAAGGACTCATAAAATTCTTCTGACATACATTCTGGTGTCCGCTACCTGTCTCTGGTCCAACTAGCCAACTCATGAGAGTGGGGCCAATATATAGAACTAAAAATATGACAACGAGTACTAAAATCACCAATTTCTTCCTGGTCAGAGGCCCATCAGCAAATCTGTTGATACGCCTCAAAACATCTCCAGCGCGCCGACTCATATCTGCGACGCCGCCACCAAATCTGTCCATTACAATTTGGAACAGCTATTTATATAATTTTCCCAGATAAGTCAAAATCAAGTTAGACCAGTTACTGTCATCGTAAATGCAATAAAATCAAGGCAAATATTTTTTATTCAAATGAACAGACTAGAACAATCAAACAGAATTTATTATAGATAAGACAGATATGAACAATGTCATCAGACTAGCACAGATAGATATCGTGTCCAACTTAACTTATATTAGTGTAATATCTATGATCGTGTCAGTGTGACCAACCACAAATGATATTCTTTTACAAAATAATACGAAGAGGTACAATGTTTGTCAATACAAAAACCTTAATTTTTTCAAATTTTAAGTTTTTCATGCATTGTATCCTTCAGATCGGTCCAACGGAAGTGTGTAACAGGAAACCGGGAAATTACCGAGTGCAGTGCTGGATTTTGGTGTGAGATGGAACCAACCCACGTTTTTTTTGGATGGGCTAGCCAAATCCAAAAAAAAACTTGTGTATTATTTTTTAGGTCATGAGCATGTTAAATAATAGTGAAACAAGTTGCATACCACAACAGACTTAAACCTATTGTAGTGAGATTATGGTTGCCACCTGTGTAGTAGTTTATGGTTGCCACTTGTTGCTACACTCAGTTTATTTCATGCATTTTATTTAAATATAACAGTAAATTCTACTTTTTTTTTCATAAATTAATCAAAGTAAAGTAATTTTATTATAGTGTCATTTCCTAAAAATACCTTTTATGATAGTCAGATCGAGAGTTGAGAGAATAGGTCTATAGAAACTTAAGAAAAAGGTATGTGTAATGCTAATGTAGTGTTACTAACAACGATATCATACAATACCTGTACTACATACCAAACGCAATAAACATAATCTTTGTTGTTTAATTGTGTATATTATTATGAAGATTGTGTATAGATTATAATTAAATCGTTAGATATTTAAAGTAATCTAAACGCGAGGTGATATGTCAAAAATATCGACACATTTGGAAAAAAATGCAGTGCTGCCAACCTAGTGGATTTTCCACTAAAAGTGGTGGTTTCTAGCCCCCCCTTTTAGTGCAGAAATTTCGCCTGTAGTGGCTAGTGGATTTTTTAAGTGGTTTAGTAGTAATAGCAAAGCTTATAGAGGACTTAGGAAATGCCGTTGAAAATTATGAGAACTGGTTGTGTACGCAAACCTCAAGAACTTTTGATAAGCAGGGATTGATGGGGATTGGAGGAAAGTGCCTTAGGAAGATTAGGGTTATTAATTTTAGGCAATGGGATGATGTAGGCTTTGTGAAAGAGAGATGAAAAGGTTTCGGCGTTGAGAAAGAAGTCAATGATGTAGGCTATAACTTCGGGGACGTAATTTAAGATGGTAACTATCATCCTGCGGCTTGCAAACCATTGCTTTACAACAGATAAACAGGAAAATCTTTTTGAGATCACCAGAAGGCATAGGAAAAAAATCGATGTTGACAATATTGGGTCTGAGCAGATTTGCGGTATAATTCAGGGTCCGACTCTATGTTTAATGATCCGGTTGCTGCACAGAAGAGAAATGAAGTTGGATATCATTCAAACCAATAAAACTCTATTAGTTGTTGTCTACCAATTTCCAACGTGTTAAAGAACTGCCACATACTAGAGGTATTGCTCTTCAAAAGCCAAAGGAGCCAAAGGACCTTGTAATTTAAGGTAGAGCGATTTAAGCGACTTAAGCGACCTTTGGTATTGCTATAGCAGAAAAAAATATGGAAGGAGAATGCTGCAACAAATATGAAATTCCAATAAACTTTGTAAAACAAATCGGTTCCAAAGAATCGTAACATTATATTAATCTGGAACCGACGATGATGGTGCTGACAAAAACGATTAGTATCAACATTAAATTTTAACTATAAGGTAACTTAGTTATGACCTATTTCTTAGCGTGCCATGGATTCACCGTGCGTGTACCGGGTCTATCGCGTGCATCAGGGACTTCCTTTCTAGGGTATACCTGTTTCCCCGGCTATTAGTACCCGAGACGGCGTGCGGTTTTAGTCGGTTCGAGTCCGACATGCCACCGACAGGTGGTATCCGAGGGGATTTCCGCACGGAAAAAAAAAGGGTCTATCGCGTGATAGGTGGGGGCAACACATGCGACTTCGATAGCACCTGGGAATTGTGACCCAGGAATAGGTTTAGGGAGTACTCATTATACGCGTCAGCTCTCACCTCCACTTTCTCCTGCTACCACCTCTACCTAACCATATTTGACACTCATTTCCACGGCATACAACGTAACAAAATAACAATTTTTAGTTATTTCGTTGGTTAAGTCAAAGTACTTGTTTCTTTTTAAAGCGTATCTTTAAGGATGTTCATTTGACATTTCCCATGGCACCGTGAGTTCTACTAGTACTACATGCTTAATTGAGATTGCAAAATGAAATATGTTGGGTCTAGACGCCGAGGCACAGATATCCTTAAGATTTTCTCTCGTACTTACTAAAAAAGTGTTTAGTGGAGACTGTGGAGAGTTAATCTAACTGTTGGCAGCACTGCATAGGTCGTAGTAAAAGTAAAACCTACTCCTATAATATAATATATATTATGTTAAATTATAGTCAACCAATGATTAAATTAAATTTCCATCGTATTGTAAATAGTTTACAAAATATTTAAATTGTTTAATTTAAAGTTTAGATAGAAAATAAAACATGACTAGATCGTGCTCTGTTCGTGGTTGTAAGAGTGAGTCTTATCCTGGTTGCGGAATAAAATTTTATAGGTATAGTTTTTGAAATTAATAATAATGAATAGATTTCTTAATGTTCGTATCGATTTTTTTTCTGAATCTGTTCAGATAATTCAGTGAGTCTTAAATATATAATGTAATATTGGTAAATATTAGAGATACTAGATAGTTAGAGATACTTGGAACTTGAACTAAATGTCATAAGAAATTCGGATGTTTTGTTATGATGAAATTGAAGTTGGTTTTTATAGAAAAAATAATAATATGATAAACATAATTTGTACTTTTGTACATAAATAATCAGACACTTGTGTACAAAACTTCTACTATAACAGTACTGTAACAAACAGTGGTATCCATTTAAATTGAATAATGCAATAATTTCAAATACCTTTCTTATAATTTTAGGTTGCCAAAAGATCCAAATCTATGTAGTGCATGGAAAAATGCTATTGGACGCGAAAATGTACCACAGTCAGCTGCAGTGTGCAGCAAACATTTCAGAGCTAGGGACTATTTACCTCGACTTTCACCACTACAAGCAAAAAGATTAAAGCCAGGATCTATACCTGCTCGGTTTTTGCCTATTGTTAGTATTTTGTTTTGCATATTAAATACCAATATTCACTATATACTGAATACTTAATGATGTGTTGGTTCAATAACACTCAAAAATTTTAATAGTTTGCAGTTAGCTACTTTGAAGGTAGGATTTAAGATATTTCGTCAACCTATGTTGTTGTTTTGGTGGTGGACTAAAATCCTTTGCTGTGCGTGAATTTCCTCCCAAAAAAAGTATAGTCTTGAAATGTGTAATAGCAAAGTTCATAGGTATTTTTGTGTGTATTTGTAATCTTCTTTATCACTTTCAGTCAGGTTAAATGGAAGACAACCATCTATTCCAATGATAAATATAAAATAAATAGGAAAATAGGGGCATATATATCAGTGTGTTAGTGGCTAGTGTTTTAAGTATTCATAGACACCAGGATCTACTTTTTATTAAGTAGACAAATATTATTATTAGAACCTTTTTAGCTTACAATTTTTAAGATTCTTCTGTAGATTTAAGGACCTCTCTAAACAATGTCTAGATGGTGGAAATAAAGAACAAGTAATATGAAATAAAGTTGGAACACATAGAAGATATAAGACTTAGGCAAATATAGAATTTACTATTTAATTAATAATCATATCTACCCATTCACAACTTTTCAGGATTATTTAAGATTTGAAAATGATTTCAGATACCTAGAACACCAAGGCCTAGAGTTAAGGTTCTACCGGAGTGTGCCTCACCTGATGCGGAACACTATTTAGAAGACAGTTTAGAATTAGAGGTATGATTCAATTTTATATCATGTAGTTTATAGAGAAAAATAAATATATGAAGATAAGTGTATAGAATATTTTAGCTCTTATTTGGGGAAGGGCTGGAAAATAATAATAATGTGATAGTTGTAATAGAAGTTAATGCTTAACTGTATATTGGGTCATTATTTGAGCTTAATTGGTGTGAAGAACTTTTTGAGTTTTTGTAGGATACATAAACCAACATAACATTTATAAATATAGATAATATTTTGTATGTTCTTAATCTCTCGTTTTGTATATCCTTTCAGGAGTCAGAAATGTATAGTCATCAACAAGATCCACTATCAGTAGAATCTCGGCCTGTACTGTCAGTAGATAGAAATAAGAATAGTAAACAATTGTTAATTACTATAGATGCTACATCACTAAAGAGTGTAAGTGTTGAAATATTTTTGTATAAAGCCTTACTCCTAATCGTATTTTTCTTTCACTAAACTTCCAGAAGTCTATGAATGCCCCAGGAGGTTTCTGTGCTTCTGGGAAGGGCTTGGTTGGTTCACTTAGCCAACCTACTCATAAAGGACCCTCTTTAAGTCTAGTCTTAATGCAGCGGAAATTGAAAAGTGTATTCCTTCCTAAAATGCCGGCAACGTGTTTGTGACTCCTGAGTTGCAGACGTTCATGGGCGGCGGTAGTCACTTTCCATTAGGTGACCCGTCTATTAGTCTTCCCCCTCTTACATAAAAAAAATTGGTGCCCAATACTAATTCACTAGGTTACCTGAAGTTTATTTTTATCCACTGTATGAAAGAGAACATAACAAAAGAAGATGTATAACTGTTATTATAATATTAAAATCATATAGTCGGCGTAATATAAACAAAACACATTTAAAGTCCCAGAGATGTTTATTTGTATTGACTTGAACAATTATTTTCATGTATTTTTGTTGCAGCCGCAAGAGGACCATAATTATACTTTGCAAGCCGAGCCAGCTGAAGTAACATCAGAGCCGCGCTTACAACTTGAAGAATCTACGGTAAGATTTACATCACTATCATGAGCTAGAGAGAAAGACAATAGTGGTCGCAGTCAGATCAGTCAGGTATTTTAATCAAAAAGGGTCACATTTAGAGATGCAGCTGTTTTCATAAATTTCTATTTCTGTTTAGAAGGCGTCTCGCCAAACTTGCATCGGAATAGATGGATATGCGGTCACCGAATATCCGGACGACCATTCTGTCAAATGCTTTTTTTGGGTATTTTATTTTGTGTAGGATTTTCGTGGGAAAGGGGGTGTCAAAACCCCTATGAAAAATGCAGCTCTTGTTGTTATGTGAAACTGTTATTAAAGGGCAAAATGTAAACAATAATGTCTGCTTACAAACACTTGCCCTTGTTGGATATTGGTTAATCATATAAATCAAAATTTTACTTTTAGACGGAGTCAGAATCTCAAGATGATGATGAAACAGAGACTCAGACAAAACCGCCCAACATAAATAATAATTCTAATAAGTCAATATTATATGAATATCTAAAGAAGAATTTAGGAGAATATGAGAGGATTAAATGGATTAAAGAAGCTAACAGAAGAAAGAATAGAATTGAGCAACTACAGAGAAAAGTGAAAGTATTACAAAATAGACTTAGAAAAAGCAAAGAGAATGAAGAACAAATGAAAATACTTTCTAGATCAGTAAAAAACTATACAAGATTTAGTGAAATTGATAATATATTAAGTGGCAGGTTCAAAGAATTGTGTAAAACGGTAACTAGCAATGCTCCAAAGAAATTAGACTATACGCCTAATGTGATAAAGTTCGCTATATCTCTGTACTACCTATCTCCTAAAGCATATGACTTTGTAAAGAAATACATGGACCTACCTCACACTAATATATTACAGAAATATTTATCAAGCGGAACATATATTATAAATTTGGATGAATAAAGTTCCTGATTAATTTAAGTCTAAAATTGAAAAATTAATAAAATTATAGATACCTACTATGAATCTTTTTTATTTACTGTAGTAACTTTTACCTGCGCTTCGTACGGGTAAGGCCCCGTGCAGCGTGTAAGCGACTCCGAGCTACGAAAATTGGTGCAGCGTGAGCGAGCGACTAGCCATGTGTGACTACTAGCGACCGATCGATAGCAATTGAAAATTTGGTTACCTATTTAGTACTAAACATACTTATTGTTTGGCTAAAAATAAAGCGCTACTGTCATAAGCAAGAAAAAGAGAAAATCCGAGAATATCAAAGATTTATAACGATGTGCGCTTAAATTGCAAACGGCTAAACCTTACGAGATAAATCAAAATAATGTACTACGGACTTGAATATCTTAAAAAGATCTACAAAAAAGTTTACTTTAGTATGCGACTATCTCCTAAGAATAACCCACAGTAAACATTTATATCTAAGAATACAGTAATATTTCTCAAATCATCGAATTCGAAAATCGAAATTGCCCTTTAAAATGCGGGGGCAGGGAGGCCCGTGCCGTATGTTGGTGCCGGGTGTCAGCGGCCCTCAGCCTGTATATTAAGAGATCCTGTAGTCCAATAAAAATTTAATTAATTACTCTACACTGACACCACAAAGTTTGTACTCCGGTAACTTCAGTCGCTCAGTGAAAGGCAACGAAAGAATTGGTTTTCTGTAAGGTCGTAGTATCAATCCGTTCGAGCAGGCCGATTTGTCACGAAGCATCCTCTCCCACGGTAAAATACGTCCCCCATTATTAGCACTCATTACTCAGTCGCCTATCGACCAACTGATATAGGAGTCTTCATAGCCCAAAAAAAAAGCACTGAATGGCTAACCAATGTATTAAAGTGGAGACATTCATCACCAGACCATCGTTATCAAGCTCAATCTCCCATTAGTTTAAATTCAATAGGATTTGGGAACCGGTAACCACTCATGAGTGCCGATGTCTACCTCCTGGCACTGTTATAAGATTAGCTCCAAAATGCAACTTATGGTAGATTAAATAAAAGTAGTCGGTTAATTAGCAAAATTGGCTCATGAAACACTCACTTTTAAAAACAATAATTATCTGAATAACTTCTCGGTCGCACTAGGAAATCGCTTCGATGTTTATCCGCTGTGTCGTAAAACAATATGTCGTACGGCAACCACGCTCCGCTTATATAGGGCCACCAAAATTACTAGAGTAATCCAGAAGATCCGATACCAGACAGACCGAAGTATAACTTATAAAGTATTTAATTATTCCTTCCAATATTCGACACTAGATGGCGCAGCAAATATCAGGATTATGAACCGATATTTCAACGCTTAGTGTTCGTTGTGCTTTACTTGATACCAGATGGCGCTGTCCTCCAGATTTCATACGACTCGATTGTTCACGAACTTACTACAATACAACACAAAAACCATTTGGTCCTGTGGCGCAACAATAATATATGGATTACATCAAGACGCAGCAAATGATAGTCCTTATCACACAATTACTTGCCCTGGATGGGCAACCACCAAACGACTTCAGCCTTAGCAGTCAAGATCATTAACCACTATGCCAACAGGCCAGTCGAACTTATGCATATGAACTATGTGGCATATTATTATACGTGTAAATTAGGTATCACCTACTGCTTTTAAATTCTTGGGTGCAGATGACGATAGCATACTGGTTAACGAGTATTCTGTGTCCATGAATAACAGAGGTATAATGTTATTTTTGTCTAGTGTTGATCACATACATTGAATCCTTTTGAGCTTATACTACTATACATAGACAAAACAGTATATACGATTCTGTTTTATTGGACAGATCACTCAAACATACATAAATATGTATATTATATAGAACTGTACAGAATTATAAACACTTAGGTTGAGTTTTGGGATAGCGGAAGGCAGTAGGGTTAAATAAAATACTAAATAATAAGCTAAAAGTTGTAATTATTATATTATAACATCAGCTCCATTACATTCTATATATTTTTACAGGAATAATGTTTCTTTTAATATTTATTTGTAAACAAATGCTGAGGTAAATTCGTTTTATATTGCTTTATTGGAGATTCTCTACTACAGTTAATATGTAAAATAGCCAAGTCTTAAGAGTCCACGTTTTGAACTGTACTACATTATATTTCTAAACATTAACAAATTATGATTGTGACATTAGGAACATACCTGCAAGTGTTGCTGATTTGACTAAGGAATATATACCTAACTATTGATGATAATAAATTATTTTTATTAAAAAAACTGCAATTCGTACAGAAACCAAACGTCTAATATTTAAAAAACATTAAGGGTTTTTAGTATCAAGTGTTGTATGTTTTCTGAGATCCACATTTTCACTAACGGCAACTTCTGATTTAGAAGTATATTATTTCTTAGTCTTATTTGAACTTGGTGCGTTTTAAACAATTTCATCAGCAATGTAAACTAACAAATACGTTCTTAATTTGCACTATTTTTAGCTTATCTGTGGTGCGGTTACATATTAAAAATTGTTCCCAGAAGTATGAATATATTAGTAATCTTTGCATATCTAAAAAGTATGTAAGTATTCGCAATCAAGGAATAACAACTCAACTAATATAAAATATTGCTTGTGAAAATTTGTTGTTACATTTTATCTTTCGAATATAAATTTTACAACTTAACCCATTTTTTTAAATCTTTGAATAGAACCTCATAAAATTATTTTCTTTCTATGTAAATAGCTATTATTCCCGTTTACTATTTTCTAGTGAAACACTATTGTAATATTAAGCTATATCAGAAAATGAATTCATTCGTATGGAGGAGCGTCAAGGAATGTGCAACAGTTAATAAGTTTGTTGACAAAAGGGTTTTGATTAATAAAAAGGTAAAATATTCTTTTCTTGATAGTATTTTACAAAGACTAATCCAATACTTATATTTTTGTCAATCTTTTAATGTATTAATAATACTTTAGGCACTTATTATTAGAATTACATACACACAATACAATACATTGAATAATAAGTTTATAAAAATTAAGCGTATATAAAATAATTGTGTTGTAATGTATAAAAATAGAGATTTAGCACCAAACGTAACATATAGCAGAGCCACATGTGTCGACATGAAGTTATTGTGGTTTATGTAAAATACCCTGTCGCGTAACACTAAAGGCACTTGAGGCATAAATATGGAATATAAAAATGTGAACAAAAAAGGAATGTATACATTAGTGATTTTCAAAAATAGTCAATATAAAAATACCTGTATTATTACCGATCCCGTACTTGTAGTAACCCAAAGACATGTTTTAAAATAATTGACAATCAATTGATTACATCTTACACAAAACTAACATTTATTATATAAAAATAGCAAAATAGCATTATTTAAAAATTATATGAGTCGAAAAATACTTTTAATAACTATAGATGTTTAAAAAATAATACGCTACTCATGGCGTAATATTACATGTCATATATCTAAAGTATAGGAATGGTAAATAGTTAGTGGCCAAGAAACAAACAAAAAAACACACAAAAATTTTAATACTGATATATTAACAAATGGAAGTGTGTCTAGAGATCCGTTTTAGTAGGAGTATTATGCATATTTTAACATTTAAACCTGACATACACCTTGCTTTGCCTTGCCACCTGCATTCAAATTAAGTATATTTTTATGCCAGACTATAGACAATAGAAGACTTGAAAAAGATTGCCGTAAAAAAGTCGTATTGCCTCTATGGTTTGGACACATTGTGTCTATAACAGGTCCAAAGAAGCCTTCCATAAGTACTTATGGAAGGCTTCTTTGACGTCCAGATCCGAACCATCTCGTAAGTATGGTATGGCTAATGGTTCTCATGAACGAGTGAACAATAAATGTTTGTTAATCAGAATATTTTTTCTAATTTGTGTAGTCACTTGTACATCTATTAAATAATGATCTGAATGAAGAACTGACTACTACTAAAACACAGACAATCGTTAATTAAATATTAATTTAAAAATAAAATCATAATTTCATTCACAACATCAACTTACAATTCGAAAATAATTATTAATAAAACGTTGATGTTATTAATAATATACAACTATTTTTGTAGATTTTTTGATTTTTAATAAATTAGTACCGCATTAAAAATAAATAATAATAAAATTAGTAAAAAGTACAGAATCATATAAAGGTAAGGACGGTAGAATACCGCAATTTATCGAACGTTTCAAAACACCCAAAAAAGGAGTTTATGTCTCGATTAGCAATTTATAAAATAATAAATAAATATTATGCTTATTATAATGTATATCATTACAGTAAATTGTACCTTATATACATATAAAAGTATACATATTATTAGTATTGCAATCGGGCACATCTGTGTCAGCGTATATAACAACTATAATATACACAATTTAATTAGATACTATGTCGTATATATAAAAAAAATTGTGTTTATCTAAGACGATTAATACTCTATCCATTCAACAACAGTTTACGTAATTTTACTTACATATGTTATTCAGTCATCACACAATTAAAACATCATACTGATCACACCGAAGTATTAACAGAACAGGAAACGTTATTTGTATACTTTTTATCCTGTTTAGTCCTCTAGCGTAATAACTAGTTTTAATTCTCCACAAGAATTGAGTAGATACGTTATCAATATGTATATAGATTACCAAAACTAACAACTTTTTGATTAGATTGAATTCGACTCTTAAAGTTGCAATTTTTAAGCATTGAATATTAGTCTATTAAAAATGCTTTACAAGCAAAGTTTCTTAAAAGGATTAGCGCTTGTGTCGTATATTATAGCTTTATAATATACGACATAATATAATTGTATATAGCTTCGTACCGTTTACTGAACTTTTCAAATATCCCATTTTTTGCTTTTCTATTAGTTCTATATTTAAAGTTTCATTAAATAGTGCTTTTATTGAAGCCATATTTATTAATCGAGTAAAGAACTCTATTGAAGTTTTGTACCCTTATCTATACAAATAAATTAAACTAAAGTGTCTGTTTGTAATGTCAAAATAATAGGTATTTTTCATGCTCACACGATTATTTGCACGATCTACGATCTACCCTCTAAAAACCTATAAACTTTTGTCCGGTCCGGGAATCGAACCCGAAGCCTCACGGACTGCAGTGGCGTACCGTAATACACCACTAAGGCAGCGCTTTCCAAATTCCATGCGAACGAAGTCGCGGGTACCAGCTAGTTGAATAATAATTTCATTAAAACAAATGATTTAAGAGCGTATTCAATTCTTGTGGAGTTACTATTCTGAGGACTTATTGCACACTTGTCACTCATCTTCAGCTCCTATCAGATCTAAGCAGTACGATGTCTTCCTCTGAGTCGGTCTCCGAAGGCGGTATCTCTTCATCGTCGTAGTATGGCTTACGTATAACATCTGAAATACAATTGACTAAATCAATTAGCTATAGTAGCTACTGTTTAGTATCAGCTGCTATCAATGCTGAAATTTCTTTATTATATTTATAAATAAAAGCAAACAGAAAGAAACTTAAGCTGAGAGATTGCGCATCATTTGATTGACTAATGAGCGCGGGCGGGTGTAGAGTTGTTCGTGAGATGTCACATGTAACACATTACATTGGACTACTGTATTTTACTAGTAACTACTTTACAGTAAGTACTGTGTTTTAAGTCATTCACATTCACAGTATTCGAGCAATTGTACTACTAAACTAAAAAATAACATTAATCTGCATTTAGCGTTTGAACTGTATGCCATAACTACAAAGTTTTGTGGTACAGATTTTAAGCAATGCCCCTGGTTTACTATTAGCTTGTTTTCAACGTATTGTACGTAAATATATCTTGACATTTATATAAAATATGACTTAATAACAAGAAGTTTATCTCATCCGTGCCCTTACCGTATGCAGAATTATCTTCGCACAGAGGTCGTTTGTCGTCGGACGGTATGGGCGCGAATATGTACTGGCGTCGCGAGTCCCGCGCTCGCTCGCGGCAACTGAAGCACCACGCCGATATTGTCACCACTCCCACCCCTATCACTCCTGCAAAGTGCAACCATTTTTATATAAATATAATTTTTAACAACTGTAAGTGATAACAGACACATATAAATGAGTATCTTTTACAGCACAGCTGAAAAAGTCCATTTTTTTTTACTAAATTATGAAAATCTTTAGGCCTGGACTCGCAGCGAGTGTTAAAGGAATGAGTGCACACAAAGATACTTTAAATATACTCATAAAGCATTTCCATATGCAGTCTCATGCTGGTCCGGCTTCATCAGTACCGGCTTAAGGTTCCGAAAGTAGAGCCTTATTAAAACTTCAAGTAAGGAAAGGATGGGTTCAACAAATGTTGAACCATCCATCCTTTTCCATTTACTCACTTTTATTTCAGGATCCACTTCTAACTGCCGGGTAAAACAATGAAAACGGTAGGGATTCATATTATAATAAGAACAGAGTCGGGGACATAGGTAAATAAATAAAAAAAATTTTTTTGCCTTGGCAACAATTCTGTGTTTGACTTCTTCTTCTCTTCGAGGTGCACTATTCGGGTTTCAGTTTGGACTATCCGCAGAAACTGATGTCAAAAATATTATTTACCTAAGTCAAAGAACGTTCTTAAAAAATGACAAACCTGCAAGCATAACAAAGACGAGTCGCGGCATGCCGAGGACTTGGTCGTCGAAATCCAAATGGAACAGCACGTTCGGCGTTACTTTGTCTTGGCCGTTTATCTGTAATTATAGTAATGCAGCCTTAGTGGTTGAGTGAGCTATTTACAGAAAGCGAACATAGCGCTATCGGTCGTAGAGAGTGTCAGAAGATTGTTTTTGTTTTGCATCACTCTCTGCTCTTGTCACTGATTGGATATTTTAAATGCTTTCTTCAGTAACAGCAAATCAGTGCAGAAAGGAGAGAGAGATGCAATACCAAAACAATATTCTTTCTCTGTCTAATGGGCGTACGCTACCACTTACAGAGAAATATACAGTTCGCTTCCTCTATTATTATTATCTCGTGGTTACCACGGTCTCGCAGAGGGCAGGTGTTGAGAATTTTTTCCTTGCTTTTCACCAAAGGAGTGAGATTACGGGGCCTCAAGATTATTTAGCGTCCCCACATATTTCTATTTTTATTTTCCCTCCACACAGTATTATGCCACCCGACAGTTGATATTAGGAAGAGGCATATACATTTATCGAAATGACAATGTTCATAGCGCGATTCAAGATTAGTGGTTACTCGGCAGTTCGTTAGATTATTTTTTTTAGACAACTCCCACAATAGAACTATATCCTGTGTCACGGGGGACTTTTACAAACATACATGAAACAGACACCAAGGACACCCAGACTCAGAACAACAATTTGTGGATCACACAAAGTGTCGTCCCATGTGGGGATCGAACCCACAACACTCAGCATAGTAGTAAGCGGCGACTACACCATCCGTACAGTCTTTCAGTTTTCTATTAAAGTATGTTTTATCGTGGTATGTGATCGAGTCGCACCAATCTTAGCACTTGCCTGCTATATCTAAACACATATACCTAAGGTTTTTACACTTAAATTGTATAAGGAGTGCGGTTACATACTTATTTATTGATTGACATATATCAATAAAAAATACGTACCTATAACCGAACTACAGAAAGCGACTTTTTAGTCCTTTTTTAACTATTCATTTGGTTGCAAATATGAAATGATTTTTCCCATCAGCAACACCATTCTTTACGCAAAAAATCAATACACACTTACTACGATATGTCTGGACAAATTGATGTACCCGTCCGCAGAGGCCGTAGCCACCATCTCCTTGGCCTTGTACTCGAGAGGCAGCGCCACCACGAACCGGCCGCTCGCATCGCTCACGTTCTTGCCCACCACACTCTTCGAGCCCACGGCTCGGAGCGACACTTCCACGGCTGGGAGAAGGTTGCTGTTGCGGTCTAATGTTAGACCTTGAAGGAACAAATAGATCTAAGTTGCCATGGTTATCTTAAAATATTTCAGTTTATTTAAAATATAAAATAAAAAAAAAATGAAAATTCATTCTAGAATCAAGATCATTATTTAATGTTGTTAACTGGGGACTTCAGAAACATTAAAAACTTAACAACACTAAATAAAACACAAAACTAACCAACGGCGCTTTACTTGTAATGTTTCAAATAATTAAAATTTAATTAACTTAGGAATTGCCATTTACAGGCAATAAAGGCAAAAAAAAGAGATTAAACCATACAGCGAATTCTCAATGTGTGAAATAATGCCATCTTACGAGTGTCACGAACGTTCCTGCTTATGAAAAAGCCTAAGGGCTACCATCACTAGCTCATCTTGCGGGCTACACCATCTTGCCTATTTCCCCATTATTTATTTGGGATCGGTGTATTCCTAGATTCTCCTCTATCACTCCTCAGAGGGCCTAGTGTGAGTTTATTTCACATCTACTCGATCGTCACCATGACCGTGTTCGGCGTTGCAAGTGGTGAAGAGTTTAGTCAGGGCAACGCCGAATACCCGTCACCGTCACGATCGAGTCTATGTGAAATAAACTCACACTAGGGGCCCAGTTCACTGCGTACTCCCTCTTACCCATATCCTCTTTGACACAGTCCATTGATCTTTTTTTGGTCATTCTCTACTCTTATATCCGTCAAATTCCATTCATTTTGCTCATCCACTTTCTTCACTACATTTTGATTATCTCTACTCATCACATGTTGATACCAGGATAACCTGCTTCTCAACTTAAGGCTTCCTCTAATGCATTCATTCCTTGCGGTCGTGGTCATATATTAAAATTCTAATGTTGTGATGACATATATTACCTTTAACGTAAACCATATTAGGGTCGTCTTCCACCTTGATCTCTTCAAACTGTCCGCCGGAGATACTGTCAGCGTTCACACGTCGCATTACAATGTCTATACTCTTGAGTACGCCTTCTACGACGTTCCACGTTAAGATCTAAAAGTATTAAGTACCTATTAGTTATTGACTAGCCTGTTGGTCTAGTTGTTAACGGTATCGACTGCCAAACCAAAGTGGTTGGGTTCGATTCCCACCCAGGACAAATATTGTTTGACTAACTATTGCCTGCGGCTTCGCTCGCGTTATAATTTCTTAGTTTCTTGTTTATAACTTACAACGAATAAAAATAACGAATTTCCATACAACCGTTCGTTCCTTATATTACCCCGTTAATGGTAAAATTTCCAAAAATCCTTTCTTAGTGGGTGCTTACCACAAAGAGTATCAGCTGACAAAATATCAAGTTTATAGCCCGAGGGGTTTGGGTTTTGCGTTCCTGAATCAATCAGTCAGTCAAGGCAAGTAATTTTGTATGTGGATATGAGCAAGAACATTTAGTGTGTGTCTTAGTGTAATTTAATTATAACTAACTAAGCGGCTCTGTGTGTATGTTGGTTATCGCGGTGAAAAGTGGCCTATGTTACTCGCTGATAATGTAGCTTTCCATGGTGAAAGAATGATTAAAATCGGTCAAGTGGTTTAGGCGTGAAACCTCTCTCTCTCTCTCTCTCCCCCTCTCTCTCTCTCAAACAAACTCACTTTCACATTAATAATATAGGTATGCATTTAAAAATATACGTGTATATATAGAAATATACATTATGTACCCGGGTGACGGCAATAGGCTTGTCACCTATTAGGTAAGTTGCAATAAAATTATTATTTATAATTATTGTCGATAAAATGTGTGCGTTTAATACCACTCTGTCTATCCCAATCATGATTATAATAGTATCAAGTAAGGTGTGGTGAGTACTCACCCTGTCCTGGTAGTTGTGACACCGCACAATGACGCGGTACACGCCGGGCGGCAGCATGACTCTATAGTGCGCGAGGTTGCTCGTCACGCGGTACTGCCGTTCTACGCCCGTTACGGCCACAATTGCGTCTCGCATCGGCAACCCTTCTTCGTTTCTCACAAATCCAACCACACCTAGAAAAAAAACTCACTAATAAGTTAAGGTTTTTTCCTTCCGTAAGTAAATTCAGGGCGGGGTTAATCGGAGGCCAAACCCCCCCCATTTGTAGGGGTAGGGGGGGGGGAGGGCTCAAAGGGCGGCGGTAGTTACTTACCATCAGGTGACATGTCTATTCGTTTGTCCCCTAATACAATAAAAAGTCTAACAGTAAGCTTTATTTCGATAACTTGTTTGTATTTTTCAGAAGTATCTTTGAAGTGAAGCGAAATCCGTAATCAGAAGAACATCGATCGCACCCAATTTCATCTTAATAATTTAGTAAAACAGATGCTAAATAATACGTGAGACATATTACACATAGATAACTCAGCCTATTTTTAGCGGACACGTTATATCATTTTCACATTATGTTGCGAGTTTTCAGACATTTCAAAAGTAATACTTTGTAAATTCATTTGTTTTCTTATTGATAGTACGATAGATAAGGAGGTATCTAGATGCGAAATGACCAAAAATGGCGATTCTTAAAAAAACAACAATGGAATTTATTTATAAGGATGTACTCGATGAGAAAAAGTGAAAAAATATTTAAATATAAATTACTGAGTTAACTCGTTTTATTAAATGGGTAATCCCCCGATAAAATGAAGAATTTAGTGTTTTAGAGAATTGACTCATAAATATTTTTTTTTAGTTTAAACAAAATTTAATGATTCAGACCTTATTTTAAAATATAGATTGTATCTACATCACTGTTCTGATAGTAGTTCATGTTCTGTCTTTTATGCAATAATGAAAGACCTAACTTACCTGTATTAGCCAATTTGACGAAGTCTTTAATCCCCTTCAGATTATTCCTCCACACGAAACCTATCTCTGACTCGACCGGCATCTTACAACAGCTAAGCCCAGCCGATAGCACAGGCGTATTAAACCTCTCATACAACACATCGATAAGATCCCCGTGGGTCGGAGCACGAACCGTACATGAGTATTTATCGCTTGGAGTTGTATTTTCTTGGTAGCGCTGAGCGTACTGTTCAAACATATTCTTGCATAGTTCCGGATAAGCTAAATCCTCGCTCCCAGAAGATAGTTCGAGTAACAAGTCGTATTTCTCAGCTTCTAACATGTTTATAAATGCTTTTTCTCTCGTGTAATTCGTGAGAGGATTCAAATCTTTTTTAGTAAGATAGCTATAGAGACTATCTCCAAATTCTTCTTCCAGAGATTCTAAGCTGCATTTGTCTGTTCCATCGTATTGTCGGATCATTTTGTCGGCATGTTCGTCAATGTTCGGTATGAAGTGTAGTACGGAATTTTTAAGGATGGGTTCGCCGACGGCGTAAGCGCCTGCCATGTGGCGTGCAAAGTTAAGAAGCATCTCTTGTCCTAAGGGCTGAGATCCATAGAAGCTGCTCGTGATTGCTATGTGGAACTTGGTCTCTTCGGGTGAACCCACCTGTAACATTTGTACTGATAAGATATCGCTTACAATTCATTATTATGTATATTATGTAAATACAATCGGATGTGATAAGGACATCACACTTTATTTATTCGAAGACGCCTCAGTACTTTACTGCATTTTTTTTCAAACATCTCGAAAAGTAAAGTTTTAAATCACCTATAAATTTATTAATTAATTATATCAGTTAATGTAAAGTATTACATAGAGAAAAGAAAAAATGTAAAACAGCATAAAACTTCAATATCGCTCTGACGAAGTACGATAAAATAATTTAGTATTTGTTTATTTGAATCTTCAAGCACAAAATTGCACTTAGTTAAATTTAATACCAAAATTACGATTTACAATATAATTATTGAAATATTTATTACGCTTAAGTTGTATTATAAAAAATATAATTGTGTTAGTTAATTTGTGATTTTGAAGACTATGTTGTATATAACTGGCACTAACCTCGTCAGTCATCTTGAGTTGATGGAAAACAGCAGTCCGCATACTGTCACCCGACATAAACTCAGCTATGCTCGGTTGACTGTTTTCAATCTCCGACAGCGCCGCGTACATCTCCAGGCGAGTGTGGTAACGAGTGTTAATTACGTTTTCCAAAACGCTGTAAAGTAGTCATGTACACAAAATATTGCAATTGAACGCCAAGCTAACAGTTACACGTAAACAATTGCTTCACAGTACATTAAAATGAATAAAACTTAAGGTTAAATTAACAACTTGCCTTCAATTATAAAGTAAAGCTCAAGAGGGTACTTTCCTTACTTAATAGAATGAGGAATTGCCTATAACGTCAATGAGCAGTCGTCAATGAGCAATAGACGAAAGTAGTACCGGATTCTTTCTGAGTAGCTTCATCACTCAGAGTCAAGCCAAATAAAGTCTACTACTAGTAATACTGGTCAGTGGTTCTACGCAATGTTAGACCTCTATTCATCTGCCTACCCTTTTCCCAATTTTATTTGGGGTCGGCGCAGTATGTATGATTTTTCCATTCTACTCTGTCATGCGTCATCTCACTGTTTACTCCCTTCCTAGTCATATCATCCCTCACGCAGTCCATCCACCTTTTCTTCGGTCTGCCTCTTCTCTTGTACCCTTCAACTCCCATACCTAAAACTTTCTTCGTCACATTTTCCTCATCCCTCCCCATGACATGTCCATACCAAGATAACCTATTACTTCTTAACTTTTCATCCAGTGGCGCTACTTTCAGACAGCTACTCTTTACAGAATGTTAGACCTCTAGTTTACTCAAAATAACTCCGAAAGAATAAAGTTAGATTCGAAACCATAGTGTCGAATCTCTTAGCTATGATATCAGGATTTTTAAAATATCTCACCTATAGACAGGAAATATTTAATTCGCAATAGAAGTCTACATGAACTGGTTTATGGATTTTTTTAAAAAAGTTTTAAACTGTTATGTGACAAATGGTGACAAACAGTGAACGTTGTATTGTGCGGCATTGTGTATTTTTTTAGGTTCTGTACAAACTAGGTTGGTCGATTTTAAGTCTACTACGACACAGGTGAAGCGACTCTTCACACGAAGCGACTCTCAGACCTCCACAACCCAAGTACTAGGCGATGTTCGATGTTCTTTAGAAAGACTGCTGTCGGACTTTGTTTTGAACCTTGTAACTTTTTGATAGGAAGACGATACCTTTATTAAGCTTTGAACGTAGTCTGTATTCACAAGAGATAGAAATATGGCTATTGTATACCGGGTGGTACAGAAAGAGTGTAGTCGTGACCCCGTGAATTAAGGAAAGCGCTAAGAATTTAAGGAAACCTCAATATAATTTAAAAACTGTAAAATTGATTTTCAAAACTGTGTAATCTAATAAAAATTTAACTATGGATATTAAAAAAAAAAGAATTTTAATGCAAGGTACATATTTTTTTAAATGGCTATGATAATAAACAAAATTCTTTGAAATTAAATTAACTTGCTTATGTAAATTGACCGATACAAAAGGAAAAGTATTTTCTAATATAAAAAAATTAAAAAGAAAACAATATTTTTTTTTCAAGCTTAATTAACTGATTGTTGGCTACTCGTAACGTTCTATAATTTGAGCACATTTTTCTATAACAACTGTAGGTAGGCAGAATATTTATTGCAACTAATTATTATAAAATAAAAACGCGACTGCGTAAAAATGTATAGGTACTTAAAAAAACCTACAAACAGGTAACACATGAGCCTCCTTCTAGTAAAGTCGGGACAGTTGCTTGGCAAGGGTGATTAGAGAACGCCAAAACTTAATGGATTTAGTATGTGTATCAGTGGTAGGCCAAAACCTTCTTTCTAAGGAGAGGCCTATGTCCAGCAGTGGACTATTTAAAGGCTGTTGTTGATGATGATGATGATGATGATGATGATCAGTGATAGAGTAAGAAAATTGTAATATTTGTAGTATTAAGTGTATAAGTCCAGTTAGTGCAATGAACAACACAGTTGCGTGCATGAAACATTTATTTATGGAAGCATAAAACGATATTAATCAAGTACATTATTATATAAGTAAAATAATAATACTAAAAACTAATATTAAGTAATAGTATCAAGCAATAGAAAGTAGGAATAAATATAAAATTATAATACTTATGGAAAAGTTTTTTAAAAATGCCGAGTTTTCATTGTAAGATAATTTCAAAAATATTTTGAAAGTTCATCCAAGAAAAAATGTTCAAAAATGAAATGAAAATTAATGTACTGGTAAAATTAGTTACAAAGCGTGTATTGAGTGAGCATTTAAACGTCGTTCTTACTCTTTGGTAACTGTTTTTAGTAATAATGAATTACGAACATAGAAAAAATAAATGTCTAGAAACAAATTGTGTGCAAGCAGTATGATCAAAATGTTATTATAAAACTGATGTACAAATTGAGAAAAATTCAAAAGGTTAGCAAAATAATACGTTATTACAACTCCTTCTTAAAAATCTGTTAAAAAATCCATGTAAATTACTAGAAGTTTTTTTATAAGATCATCAAAATATTTTGCAAAATCATTATCAATAAACTATGTATTAAAAACTAAAATTCAAATGTCAAAATATTCCCAATATTTTGGACAAACATGCGATAAAGCGAAAAGACGATACAAATGATTATAAAATACATCAGGTGCATTACATTGTTGTATTATATAAAAATACTTAATAAGAGATAGGAAGGCATACATTTAGAGCATTAGGAAATGTATAAAGTTTTTTTCTCATAGGGATGGGAAGTAAAAAGAACAATCATTTATTAAATAAAATTATATCAAAAAGAAACCATGTCATTCACTAATGTTTTCATTTGCCAACAAATGAAGATGTATACCAATAAACCATTAGATTCAATAATTTTAATACTGAACTTTAATAGTTTTTTAAATGATCTTAATGTATGCGTAGAATGATAAGGATTGACCATATTTGGTTAATGAACATTATAAATTCAATACTTAGTATCAAAAACTTAATTCTGACAGATTCTTCTGGAGTATTCTCAAACCGAGTGTAGGTTTACATCTTTATTGTTTCGTCTCACTGTAAAGCTTTTCTCAAATGTGCAAAGAAAATGTATAACTGACAAATGTTTTAAGTGACTAATACAATCCTTATCCTACTTAAACCTTCCAATACATTAGACATATGAAAATAAAATAGATATAAAACATACGCATATATAATCAAACAGACAATCCAGCACAGTTAAGCATAAAATAAAGCAAACACAAGCCTGTTGTTGTTGCAAAAAGGTCGTAAATCGTGTGACTCACCGATAGTCGTAGGCGGATGACCAGTGGTGGTTGTCACTCGGCATTAGTGTGAAGTTGACGCTGATGGACCCTTCAGGCGGGACAGTCACTTGTTCTGTTATAGCCTCATAACTGCAAATAATTTTTATTTTTATATTAATTTCTAAAGGTGCAAAAATAGTATTGACGACAGCAAAGCAACACCACATTTCAAGTCTAGCTGTTAAATTTCACTTAGCAAGGCCATCTAGCCCAGGTAGCCCCAATTGTTGGGTACATAAAATATTATAAAGAAAGTTATCTCTCAACATATATTAAATTATTGAATATTTTCTAAATGCCAAATGAATCAACCCTTAAAAAATATTGTGTCTTCCCCTGAATTTTCTTTCATTCAGCGCGTGTCTTTGTGTACGATTTTGCAAGAAACTAATATAAATATATATTATTTGATTTGAAAACGGGTTGATATAAACGCTACTTACGAGTATCTGAGATAAATATAGAAGCAAATGACAATAACAATGGCTAATCACTTGGAGGGAAATGACAGTCTATCTACAAGCTTAGGCATCTTCTTTATATTATATCATTGACTAGGTGAGTAACGCTGACACGATTTACACCTTATCTTGGTACCTGTTAGGATGGAAACCTTTCTAGGGACCTCGAAATAAATAAATCATATTTCGGACATTTGACACACAACGCCATCTAGTTTTAAACTAAGCAAAGCTTGTGCTATGAAAGCTAGATTGACTGATAAAAAACTTATATACTTTTTTTTTTGTAAATACATACATATTATACATCGAAAACACCGAAACTCCGAAACATAATTTGCGGCTCACACAAACAATTGGTCCGACCCGGGAATCGAACCCGAGACCTCGCCACAGCAGTCGCATACGTTACTACTGCACCACCGAAGCAGTCAAATATGCACTGTATGTATATTTTCTACTTACCCTTCCTTGCTAGCGGTGATATTATAAGTGCCGGGAACTAGAAGGCGCCAGTAGTCTCCATCTTTAGCTGTTTTAATTGAGTGCTGGATATCATTTACAGTGATTGTAGCATTACTTAGCCGGTGTCCTATGTGACTGTTCACGAAACCGTGTACTCCTTTGTGGACCTTGTACATAGAAGTTATATTTTATTAAAATCATTAATCAATGAGTTAAAGGTTTTAAGATTGTTGTGTGTAATCAATAAATGTTTAAGCATGTCAACAACAAAAAACAAAAAAATAATTGATTTTCGAACGACCGTTGCTAAAACACTCTCAAGACTAGTTTTAAACAAAATCTAAATGAAATTAACCCATTTAACAGTTTAATACCATACATAGATATAATTGTTGAATTTATGTTTCCGCCTTTTGTGCCTTTGCCTCATATTAACAAAATAGGTGACTCAAAGGAAAAAAAGGTGCTTTTTTGGTATATAATTCATAGTATACATCTCAAAACAAAATATTTATCATCAATTATATTTATATCATCAAAATTGTATTACTTTAAAATGTAATAGGTTTTGAATATATCTGGACATTGTACCCATTTTTGAAATATGAACTTAATCAGTTAATTTTTAAGTTAAATTTGGCAAGTACAAATAAAGTTGCTTATCCTGTGTTAAAATTTTATTAAAGGCGTCTATTATCATATGACAATTAAACATTACCGAACCTTATAATAAATTAGAACAAAGCGACTTTTCTGAGCCGTCATTACCTCTTCAATGTACTCCAGTAACGCTTCTCTGTTGTCTTCCCAGTAAGTAGGCAGGTCTGAAGCAGGTGGGAATTTGAAACAACCCAATTCTAAGGTGATCTCCATATCATTGGTATGTAAGTAATTCCAGTCTTGCATACCGCCGGCTAGCACATACCTGGAAGAAACGAGCAGTTTAATATAAATTCATTTCTTTTTATTAAAAAGTATTATAAATTAAATACAACTGATAAAAATATATTTAAATAGTAACAATTATAATGTAACTACTAACACCGACCGGAGCTATTACGTCATTAACCGGTAAACAAGTTGAAAGCTGTCAGTTGGTATCGTAATATTGAGTACATAATAATTTGTAGTACAGGAGTTGACAGGAGCAAACGATAAGAACTTTGTCAGTTAGCGATTAGTGACGACATCAGCAACGACAAGTGTCAATTTAGGGAAATGTTTTATTTTCAAGTAAATAGTAACATTAATTTCAATCATGTATGTAGTCCGTGTATGGCGGATTGAGAAAACGGAGTGTCATGACCCCTTATTCATACCCCGACTAAGGGACTAACCAAGTAGTGCGTAGTTAACACAACAGCACTGCAAAGGGAAGGAAAACTTGACACAAACCCTATACCAACCCGTCTGGCCAGCGTGGTATAGCAGGCCAAAACCTCTTTTCTAAAGAGAGGCCTATGTCCAGCAGTGAACTATTAAAGGCTGTTGATGATTGATGAGACATAGGCCTCAGTAGGCCTAGGTAGACATAGACATATGATGAATAATATTAATTTCAAGTAAATTTCTTGCGTTAAACAATCATCTAGATGTGAAATGCCAGAAGTTTGAAATATATGTCAACATCCCTATTGTCTAGTTAAATGCCATAAGCATATGCACAAATACTAGCTGTACCCTGCCACTTTATGCTGTTGCACATTGAGGTTGAAAAATAGATAGATAAAAACCATCTTTGAAGCGTGTTGTGTCGTGACAAAATTTCAGCTCAATCGGCGCTGAACTTTCTGAGTTTTTCAAGCGTACCCAAACCAACATAACGTTTTTATATATGTAGAAGAAATATACAGATAATAATATATTATATACAATATGAAAATAATATTTATAAAAAGAAGGAAAGTTATATTAAGAAGATCATGTAAACTGATGTTTAAACTATATTTCACTGATTAATATCGATGAGTTTTTGTGTACCTCATAAAATCTATGAACATAGACTATATTTAATCTTAATTGATGTTGAAAAAAGTAGGAAGGCGAAGATGGCACAGTATATTTCTCAACTAATGAGGTTTGTTTATAATACAGTATCCTACCATTTAGCTCCGTTAGTGATGCCCTCAGGGAAATGTTCTCTGGGCAAATGCTTGCACGGCTGACCCAAATGCATTTTGTGATGAGCCTGAAAAATAATATAAAAATATAAATTTAAATTTTTTAATGTTTATACTTGACCGTTTTAAATATAAAATAACAAAAAGCACGCACGGACAAATGCTACAACTTGATTTAGGTACATTAACGAAGTGCACCTAATTTTTTTTTGACTTGATTTTTTTTACAGTTTAGGGGCAAGCGAGCCCACGGGTATCTTGATGGTAAATGACTACCTTCGCCGATAAACATCTGCAACTCAAGAATCACAGGTGTGCTACCTTTTTTGGGTTAACCTCCACCCCCCTTCTCACCAGTCTGTGGGTTGGGCTCCGCTCTCTCACTCGGTCAAAAGTAACGAAATAATTGCTTAACACTGGTTTTCTGTAACGCTTTGTCTTCCTTTTTGTTTTTTTGTCGCTTCTATAGAGGGCTGTACTGTCGGTATAGGAGATGGTTTCTATGACTACAGTTTATTACCACATGCACTTACTTCGGAATAGACGTGTGCGAGGTGCACAAACACAGGATTGTCAGGAGTGAGGAACTCCTCCCCACTTCTCATGTTAGAGTTGGCGTCGTAAGGATAGTTGGCTACTAGGGCACCGCCGTGCAGATTGGCGGATAAAACAAAAGGTTCCGACATTGACCAGTTCATTACTGCATTCGTTTCTGGCTCGGGAATCAGATTGTCCTGAAATTAATTTGGCGTCTAAGAACAGGTTTACGTCCATAGCGATTAAATGTAGTTAGCTGACCCGCGCAACTTTGTATGCGTTTCTCAAAAGGAATAAATTTTCCTCGTTTTTGCACCGTTCTTGTGGTGGTTTGTGGTGGTTTTTGCAACTATTAGCGGTAGCGTGATGTTTAGCATTCCTTGTACTTAGTACGAGATCCGGCTGCAGTATTAGTGCACGAATCTTATACTATTGATAAATTAGCTATCTAACACAAAACAGTAGTTCCAGAGACAAGCGCGTTTAAAATTTACGAATCTCAAATTTTACTTGCATTTCTTAAATAAAAAAGTATTTACCATACTCTAAAAAACACTTACCTTAGTCTCACCAAATTGATCGGGAAAGTTTCTGTTCAAATCTACATTATTCGCGTTAGCTCTTCCGTTTAGACTGCTGTAATCACCTGTTAATACCATTTTTGTATTTTAAATCATACCTTCATGTATAATGTGCAAAGTATACAAGAGATCATGTGGCATAGCATAAAAGCATCAACCGTATTGGTGTGCTTTAATTGATTTGCTAGATAAATTAAATTAATTAAAACAGAATTTTTATACTTTCTCGAAACGAAATAAATATTTGGGTAACACATACCGGCTTCTCCCCTCTCATATCCATCAGGGTTCATACTCGGCATCAGGTGTATTCGCGTGGTGTTGAGCATCTTCCGCACACGTTCATCTCCGCTGTAGTATTGATGACATAAATACTTGGCTAGCTGCAGGAGCAGCTCTCTGCCCACGACCTCATTACCATGCATATTGGCAACGTACTTAAATTCAGGTTTTCCTATAAATAAACAACCATATTAAAATTGCATTTCAAAGAATATTTATTGTGATTAAATATCGTTAATTGTCTTTGAAGCATGTTCACTTGATAGAAATATTTTTCGATTTTACTTCATTCAAGTAGAACCTAGTGTCGATTAACTCAAGTGTGACAATATCAAATATCAATAATTAAACCGATTAGTTGCTAACACCGTTTTTCTCTCTTTTTTTTTCAATATCAGCATAATTTGTAGTCATAGCAAATAGCTGCAGTTTATTGAAATGATAATCCATACACAATAACATATGTGATCGTGTTTTCCATACTAATATTTAAAAAAATTTTTGGTCCAGCAAACCGTTTTAAAGGAGGTTTGGTTTAAGGGGAACGAAATGTGAATGCAAAACAGCTCTTACGCATGTAATAGCTGTTGCAAGTCAGCAACTCATTAATAGCTGTTATGACAACCGCGACAATGACATACGCTTGTTAGAAAAGGCAAATAAACTTACCTGGTATATGTTTTCCAGGATCTTTAGTCACCTCCAAAACGTAGAGTTCTCTATTTTCCACCGACTTGCCGATGCTGGTCAACTTGGTAATATCCGGGTACTGGCTATTAAGGTCTTTGAGGAAGCTCTCCATCGTAACGTAGTTGTGGTGAACGAAGTCCGCTGGGGAAATACCGTCGAGGTCGTGACGCGGACGTCTTATATGCTCTGAAGATTTGCCCGTTCCAATTTGAAATTTGAAAACGCCATTTCGGCGTCAATTTTTTTTGTTTTTTTGTTGTGGTAGGTTTTGTGGATGCGTATTATATGATATATATTTCATTTTATATCTAGTTAGGTATACCAGAAGTATAATTGAAATCTAAAATTGACGTTGAATTATCTGTTTTACGATTAAATGTCAGTTTGAAAATGCGAAATTAGATCAATGAAATAAAGATAACGCATAAAGTTATTTTAAAACCAAAGAGGGTGTAAGGGATAAAACAGAAATAAAGAAAGAAAAGATTTAGGTTAACAGCTACAGAGTTTGAAATCATTTCCACAAGAATGGTCATGCAAAAAGGAAAAGGGGGTAGCACATACATAAAACACCACTATCCCCACCACTGGTTTACAGGATGGAGCGGTGACATATTCATGTCTGAAAATGTTCCGCTAAAAAGCCTTTGACGAAAACATACGGGCAAATCAACAGCACACAACAAGAAGTAAAAAATTAACCACCACCAAAAAATAATCAAAACAGAAAACCAAAGAAAGCCAAAACCATTAGGTATGTGAAATTTGATTAATTTATGGCCAGCACCAGAATATTTGTTTTAATGAGAGAAAAAAAAATCTCTGCCTACATTTTTACTATCATTATATTGAAGAAATCGTTCATGCGCACAGAAATTACTTAAATATCTCGTTACATAGATGAAGGCAACCCAAAAAAAAAAAAACTAGATTATTCTCAACATGAATCGAACTTGTATGGAAGGTGTGTTAATTGAAAAGCAACACATACTGTATACCTACGATGTTTATTTTATTCTTAAACAGCGCCAACCATGATCTACGTACATACAATACATTTAGTACGTTATACATATAATCATAATACATTGAAATAACTAAAACAAATATACAACCAATTCCTAACTTTTATTCACAACTTCAATTTGAGATTTATATTGTAAAGTAACACAATTTAAAATCACATTTTGGGAGATCAATTTTAGCTTAAATCATATAGGTCAATGTACTTACAAGTACACAGAAATATTTTGGCACAGCTTCGGTTACTAACTATCAATACTTATAGGAGCATTACCAAATGATTTTCTAAAATCAAAACTACTATGGACACAATCAAAATTTTTCAAGTAATCTTGAACACGCTTAATTTTATTTTTCATAATAAAATAATTTAAGAAACAATAGTAACTTTTTAAATAATACTTAAATTTTAATACTAAACAATTTAGTCTTTTTGATAATTGCAATATTTCTTAAGTGACTCTAAAAATATTGAGCAAGTCAATATAATATTTATCTCCTACAAGATAAGGTAGACTATTGTAGTCTCCTACTAAAATTAAATGCTCGTACAAAATGAGTTTAATAAGTAGATCACAATGGGTTATTTTTTATGTCATTAATCTTGAGAGTGGTCAATAGACCAAACTAACCTAATAAAAAAATGGTGCTCTAAGTGTTCATTCTAAAAGCTATATAAATTTCATAATTAATATATATATATATATATATATATGTTATTGCTTCGTATTTAGAATCACAATTACAAGACAGTTTACTTCTTACAGCTATTAAAATCTCAACTTACCTACAATTGATGCATGATTTTGTGTATTTAAAGTTAAAATAACATACTTAAATGTGAATATTTAAATAATATGTAGTAAGTAAAATAAAATGTATTATTCTGCTTAGTTAAATCAGCTAAAACAACATCAAAAATGAAATATCAGTTTGCCTTGGGTTTGCCAATTTCTAAGTCATTTTGTCATATTTAAAGTTTATACAAGGAAGTGCCGACAGCTAATATATTATTATATGTTTGCGTTATAAATATACAGGGTGTAAGAGACATCGTAAAGAATACTGAAATAGTGTATTCAGACCAGGATTCTGAGTCCAAAATAATTGGAATTTTCTTGGAGCCGGAAAATTAATCATATTATTTTATAATTTTCTATTTTTTTAGTTAAAAATGATATTACAATGAGTAAACATAACATTTTACCGAAAACTAATTAATAAATACCACATAAGGTCAAAAACTGCAATGTAATTAATCAAACAGCCGAAGCGCTCTGGGCCTCCACTCCGGCTGCCAACTTGTGTTAGTATGCGTAGACTGTTAGCACGGAATACACATGTAGTTATTACTTTTGTGCGATACTTACGGGGAATCCTTTACTTTTGACTGCTGATTGCATAAAAAGTTCAATTTACCGGCAGAAAATTTTCCAATTTTAGACTCAGAATGATGGTTTGAATACACTATTTCAATATTCGTTACGATATCCCTTTACACCGTGTATAACAGAATTTTCATTGTGCGCCTTTATATTTACAATGTCAGAAAATGTTATAGTACGTAATTTATGAACTTAAGATTGACTTCTTAATTATAAACGTGCATCAGTTGTCCAACTTGATTGAAAATAATAAATTCAAAGATCATAGACGTACGCCTGTATCAATAAATAATTTTATCTACTTCAAAATAAAAAAGAGAAACTATGATCCCATTCCGACCTATATTTTTATTGATTGTAAATGATTTATCAAATACTGAGATCCCTAAGATGAAGCCAGGGATATGACCGTTTACAAGAGGAACAATTTCGGCGGTATGAATAGATTTAGGCACATTGAGTAAAGATATAGGAGACAGTCAATAATGTTCCATATTGTGTATAGCATAGGTTTGAATATTAGTTATCAAAGAGCGTTACAAGCAATATGTTGAAGACTATCACCGAACAGTGTGTAAGTGCGACGGCTGAGTTGTCGTGGTACGCAGACTGAAACTTACCCGCTGTGAGGGAGCGAGACTGACGGTGTACGGTTAGGTTCACTAGCACTGGAGATGTTTGGTTTTCAGGAACGGTGACAGTTGTGTACGAACTCAAATAGCTGAAATAAGGATCGGCTTTATATTTCATTGAACGTAGCTTTACACAACAGTGGTAATAGATAAAGAAGTGCCGCCTCAATTGTACCAAGATAGAATATTCATCGAAAAAAGTGTACGCGAAGGTATCTCATGCAAGTAAAATGAAAGAAACTTACTTTGGCACGACAGCAGTAAAATTGTATTGCCCAGGGAGTAGCATTCGCCAGAAGTGACCCTGCTCCGTGCTACGTATTGAATGATCGATGCCCACAACTTTGATTTCGGCATTCTGTAAGTTATGTATAAAACTTTTATTGACTTCTAAGGTCAGTCTTATATGCGTCTCATAATCTCGTTCTCTTTTGCAAAAAAGTAGTGATAAGGAACGGATGGGTGAGAGTCTTCCTCCCCATCCCCAAGGGGTGGGGTTTGGTCTCCTGTATATGGAAATGAAAGAAACTTCTAATGTATAAACTTACTTTAACTGGTTCCCCTTCATCGTTTATCACGGTGCCCTGAGCGCCAATATTGGTTTGCTCAATAAAAGTCAGTAGAGCGTTTTTGTTCATATGCCAATACTTGGCCAACTCTTCGGCAGGCGGATACTTACAGCAGGACAGCTCAAATGTTACCTCAAAGCAATTCGAATGGAGATAATTAAAGTCTTGCATACCTCCTGTAAAGATGCGACAAAAGTTTAGCGTGTGTGAGGTGTGTGTCTCTCTCTCAAGGACAAAACTCCTTAACAACAATAAAACTAGGTGCGATAATAATAATACAATAGCGTAAGTACTTAATTTTTGCTTCTTTTATCAAGACTATAATGACGAAGAACCTTTTTGTTTGATTAGGCTCATTCAAACTGGCTAATCTCCGGACTTACGAGACATAATTGATAATCATATGGGTTTTGTATAGAGTATTTGTTGAGGAAGGTAATAGGCAATGTAACATCATGATGCGACTCTTAGGAGCAAAAGTAACTAATATCTATAATTTTCTGAATAAAAAGCGGTTCTTGTGGTGATCTTTGGGCGAGGCACATGTCCAGCAGTGGACGTCTGTAACCTGAGATGGTGATGAATAAAAAACAAAGATCTGTCCCTTTTAAGATCAGGCGTCTCTTTAGCCATTTGCCATAGCCAATATGCTACGAATTTACAACAGCGAATAAGTATACTTACATTCCTACTGTTGTATTAAAATATTTATCGTTTGAAAAGTAAATCATTTTAAATATTTTACAAACCTTTTACAGAATACCAATACGCTCCATTTGTGAAACCGCCGTCAAAATGTTCAGGCGGACATGTGTCCCCTGCCGACATTTCAGAGTTAAGTGACGCGTATGTCTTGGCGAAGTGCTTGAATAGTTTATCATCAGGTGTACGAGATTCTTCGCAACATTCACGGCCATCGCTGAAAATAAATTTAAAGTGGAAATACTTTTTGTATAAAACTCATACATTATTCGTCACTTTTACTATACTTAATAAACCGATTGTTTGATCATGTGGTCAGACGCGCCATCCATTGGATCAAGGCGTTAGAACGCTTTTTGCGGATAGGCTTATTTTAAAAGTGGTAGTGTAGATAGACCTAATAGACTAAATGATAGCGATGACATACAGTGAAACATACAAAAGCGAAATAAAGGATTCAGATCATCACTTCAAAATCTTTAGAATTTTCTGCATTTTTATTCGAATCCTTAGATGTTGATAATATTTTTGTTAAAATTGGCAACATAATGTGTAATTATATTATATTATTAAGATATTCGAACTTCTCATGGTATTAACCGTCTTGCTAGCGTGGAGCTTAATGTCCGTACCCGTACGATAAACTATGCCGCGGTGAGATCGCGTTGGTGTATCGCGCTACGAAATTTACGGCTATTTAAAATATTTATTATTATTATAAATTCTTTATCATACAATATACAAACATAAGTTTTGTATTCTCTTGAAAAAAGACATCTCCCGCGCTAGGTATATATGTTGCGGGGGACTTTACAAACATTCATGAAACGGACACAAAGAACACCCAGACTCAGAACAAAAATTTGTGGGTCACACAAAGTGTTACCCCATGTGGGGATCGAACCCAAAACACTCAGCGCACTAGGAAGCGGCGAGGTGTCCGCTTAAACTGCTACGCCATCCATGCTGCCAAGTTTGTATAAGTTGTTAGTTACGCCGTATTTAACACCTTGTGTTCAACGTAACGAGATGCATAACTATGATTATGTAATACATTTTCCACACAATACATGATATACTCGCATAGGTATAGTAAAGCGCAGAGTTACTTACTCGTTGAACACACCCACACAATAACATAACAGTCACGACTCACGTCATTGTCATCACACATGTCATTTTATTTTATTTTTGCTTTGAATAACATCCATTTCTAACTAGAAAAAAGTCTTGGTAATTTTAATTGATTTGTACAACATTACCTACATGATTCATTCCGATCGTGATATTTGTTGTCAATACTCATGATGGTTATTAATAACTTTAAACTCGCTTGTACGTAATGTTTATCTATTATATATTTACTTACGTACGAGAACTTGTTATTATTCGAATAACTAAGTCTCTGCCTAGCCTACCTCAATTATATAACATCATATCACAATCACACCTCCTCTATAACGGAACCCCTTTTTCGGCTAATTTAATGTTTGATCGAAGGAGGCATCCATTAAGTACGGGAGAGGTTAAGGGGTGGGGGAGAGAGAAGATAATCTCACCAAATCTCATGTAGAGGAGGGGATCTCGGCAAATATAACTAAATTTTTATTTCAACCAGAATAAATATTCAAATACTACTTTTATTTTAGCGTATTTAATTTCTTATAAATACTAGACTTCCCTAGTTCTAAATAAAAATAATAGAATTAATTTTATTATCTTTGTTGTTAAAATCCAACGCAATCTATATATAATTATTTACAATAAAAATATGAGATAATAGGTGGAAGGAGACGATGGAGGGAGTTCAGCCTTATTTCATGATATCCTATCAGGAACAGTGGAGGATTGGAAAAATCATCAATATCACCTCACACAATTAATCCTCCTCCAATATAATGTGTTCTTCAACTAAATCTATTGTTAGTACTTTGCATACACTGTTAAAAATCAATCCGTTAAATCACAATAAATAGTAACTTAATCCAACAAAGTGATTGAAATTACAAACCTCAAGTCATCATAAGGATAGCTCGCTACAACGGCGCCGCCATGCAGGTTCCCTGACAGCACGAACTGCTTGCTAGTCACCCATTTTATTAGAGCCTGTGTCTCCGGCTGCCGATTCTCATACAAATACGCGTCATCGTTAGATTTTTTAGTATCATATTGATCAGGGAAATCTCGGTTAAGGTCCACACCTTTAGCGTTGTTGCGTCCTTTGTAATCTTTTAATGATTCACAGCTCCCTTCCTGCATTAAAAAGTCTTTATTAGTATGGGAGAACGATGATCCTATCCTGGGCGAAGGGGATGGGGCCTCCGAATCTTTCAGCAAAGTGTTGTTTGGTACGGGTTTTCTGTCAAGCCGTGAAATTATTTCGGTCGTGCCACCGACCAATTAAAACATTTTTTTTTTTAATAATTACATTATCTACAAGTATGTTTAGGATTCCTTTTAAAGTAAAGTATAGGAGGTTGTATTACTAGCTGTCTACATACAAATATTAAAATGTTTTTGGTTTGTGTACGCTTTAAAAACTCAAAAAGGTCTTCACCGATTAAGCTCAAATTTTGACACGATTTACAACCCGCTTTAAAGATGGTATTTATCTATTTTTCGTATCAGTTTTGTTCCTCACTTTTAATCAATGCAATTACAATATTCTACAGCGAAGCGTGGCATGGTACAGATAGTAGTAGAATGCCAATATTTCTGGACTAGCATATAACCTTGAAAGTTTATACTTGAATACGAGTGTAAATATTACAATAATGTACTTTTGAATTAATTTATTAATATATACATACATCGAGCATATCTTAGTCAACACAGATACTATTGTGAGCGATACTTTTCAATAATGAGTGTTTATAATGATAAAACACTCATTATTGAAAAGTATCGCCTAAGGCAATAAAACTTCTTGAAATGTCAAGAAATTTTATTGCATTAGGTTGATAAAAGAGACAAATGTTCATACTGTCTAGTTCATCCCATTCTCAACAGATCAGGAACTGGTTATACGATTCTGGAGTAATTAAAGGAACTGTTAGGTGTATAGGCACACAGTAATTTGGATAAATGATATTTATTTCTGTAAGTAAATCTTTTCATATATTTTTACAAGTCGGTCTTTGCAGATAGAAGGCGCCGGTATTTCCTAAGCCTAACTCTGGGAAGAAAGGCCGAAACAAACCAGAGAGGTGTCTTTTTTTAAGTCCGTGTACAATGTTAAAGAGAACTATGTGAGTGCAGTATAGGATCTGGGTTGGCCTTCTGAAGAAAGGACCATAGTTTTGCGCCGGCCGGTCAATACAGACGGAGAACATTTAGTGCCTTGCAATGCTGACCATATTGACCTTTTTCATTTAACACCTAGAGGTGTTGAAGTTACTAGTCTAAAGTATACTTGTGCTTCTTTCGACGTGTAACCATACCTACAGCAGTAATATGTGTGCCTATACGTACATGTACACCTATATGATTTGACATATTTCTGGGTTCGATTCCCGCTCGAGTCAAACATCCGTGTGCATAAACATTTAATGTTTGATTTGGTCTGGGTGTTTCTATGTATAATATGTAAGTATTTGGAAAAAAAGTATATATGTATTTATATCTGTTGTCTAGTACCCATAGTACAGGCTCTGCTTGGTTTGGGACTAGATGGCGTTGTATGAATGTGGTAGAATATTATATTATTCTGGCGGTGATTTGGATATTGCTAATTCATTTAATCTATGTATTTAAGGACTGTAGCAAAGAGTATAAATATGATAAAAGTGTATTATGAGCAATTATTTAAAAAAAATCGTTTAGATTTGGGAGTTTTGTTTAATTAATCCGAAAAGGTGTTATTTATTAAACGACTTCAAGAGATGATTTCTCAGTTCGTTGAAATCTTTTTATCTATGTCACATGATTAAACAGTTTGTTTAATCTGGTAAAATATAAAAAGTAAAAAAAATAGGCTAAATCGATTAACAAAAAAAAAATAATTAAAAGTGTATCTATAGAAACTTTCCAGTTTTCCCATCGTACTCCAATCAGGATCTAATGATGAGATTCTAAAGAAATCGAAGCAAAGGTTTAGCTAAACTTTACCTATTTATTTTGCTTTATAATCTAAGATTTGCATAACATATCTTAATGTAATTATATAAAAATGAAAGTATGATATAACCACCGGTAATTACTCTCTATATTTAAAAGCAAAACAGCTTTCACAACTTTAAAACCATACCATATAAACTTTTCAAACTTACAGAAACCGTGCTCATTACTTATAAGTAGGTATTTATATATACGAAATACCTTAATTTTATAGACATATTTATTATTGTACCTATGTGTATATAAAATTATGATATTTTGACTTTCGAATACGTTAAAATTTCTCAGTGTTTTCTTGTGTTATGCTAAAATAAACGCTTTAATGTTATTTTCTCTTTTTAAGTTAGTCTTATTGACTTCTTAAAATTAGTCACAGTAACTATGTACCTACGTGCTGTAATCGTATTGCACGTAACGACTAGTATTTCGTTTATATTATACCGTTTTGTTTGTTTTCATTATTAATACGACCTATAATAATTATCCAATAATTGTTGAAATTTTCTAGAAAATTTATTATTGCATCTATTTTAAAATCATCTAACAACTTCAACAATTTTATGAAATATCATGTCTTTCTGATGAGTACACATATAACTAACACAAACAATAAATCAATAGACGACAACATGCCACTGAGTTTAGAACAATATTATACAATCGTGTCAGAAGGTCCGAAGGACCAGACAGTCGTGTAAAACACTTTTTCACATTTTTTCGGTCATTAGGGAAATTGGGAGTATATACTATGGGTAGTGATAGTATATACTAAGGGAAACGAAAATTAGAAGAAAATGGATGGTAATGGATGGAAAATGATCCACTCCAATCCACTGATGAGTCCACTGCTAGACATAGACCTCTACTTAAAATGGAGGGTTTGCCCTACTATACAACGCTGGCCAGAAGGGTTGGAGTAGGGTTTGTTTCCTCAGGCTCCGACCGAGGAGGTCGACGTGGGGGCTGGCCGCTTTCGCGATGCGATTACGCATGTATGCGATGCGGCCATGCCCCGCGTTCGAGGTCGTCGGCCTCCAAGGAAGGAGGTCTACTGGTGGTCCCAGGAGCTGGCGGACCTCCGTGCGGCCTGTACACGTGCCCGGAGGTCCTACACGCGCAGTCGGCGGCGTCACCGTGGAGACGGTGAGGAGGACCGGCTTCATGAGGAGTACCGAACGGCGCGGAAAACTCTGAAGCTGGCCATTAGCCGCGCCAAAGAGGAAAAAAGACAGGAGATGCTGGAGGGTCTTAATCGTGACCCCTGGGGTCGCCCTTACCGCGCGGTGCGACAAAAGCTCCGCGCGTCGGGCCCCCCCCTTACGGAGACTCTCCAGCCCAGCTTCCTGCGAGAAGTGGTTGAGGGCCTTTTCCCACAACGGGCGGAACACACTCCCCCGTCGATGGCCTCCCTGGCCGGAGACGACGGGGAGCACGGGGAGGACAATGTTCCGCCCGTCCGGGAATCGGAGGTAGGGGCGGCTGTTCTACGGATCCGTTCCAAGAACACCGCCCCTGGGCCAGACGGGGTACCGGCCCGAGTGCTGGCCCTGGCCCTCAACCACATGGCAGACCGCCTCGGGGAGGTGTTCGACGCTAGCTTGGCGTCGGGACGCTTCCCTGAGTGCTGGAAGAGCGGGAAGCTGGTCCTACTGACGAAGCCGGGACGGCCTGCCGATTCGGTCGCGGCCTATAGGCCCATCGTGCTGCTGGACGAGGCGGGCAAATTGTTTGAGAGGGTTCTTTCTGCCCGCATCGTCCGGCACCTCTGCGAGGTGGGCCCCGATCTGTCGGACGCCCAATTTGGTTTTCGGGCGGGGCGTTCGACAGTCGACGCCGTGTTGCGCCTGAGGGCCGTGACCGAAGAGGCCGTGAGCTGTGGCGGCGTGCTGTTGGCGGTGTCATTAGACATCGCCAACGCATTCAATAGTCTGCCATTCAGCTGCATCAGGGAAGCACTCCACTATCATGGGGTGCCAAAGTACCTGAGGCGGCTGGTGGCAGACTATTTAGAGGAGCGTACCGTCGTGTACGAGGACCGAGAAGGTAATCTGAGGTGTCGGCCCATGTCGTGCGGTGTTCCACAGGGGTCTGTTCTTGGACCCCTCTTGTGGAACATAGGGTACGACTGGGCCCTTCGCGCCGATTTCCCCCCCGGGCTGGGTGTAATCTGTTACGCAGACGATACCCTCGTGACAGCCCGGGGGGCAAACTTCCAAGAGGCGGCGCGCCTGGCCACAGGGGGAGTCTCCCTGGTGGTCGGGCGCATTGAGGCGCTGGGCTTACGGGTGGCCCTAGATAAGACGGAGGCCCTGTTATTCCATGGGCCCCGTCGTGGTCCACCCCCTGGCGCCTCAATAGTGGTCAACTCGGTCCTCGTACCGGTTCGGGCCCAGATGAAATATCTGGGCCTGATCCTTGACGGGAGGTGGCTCTTCGACGAGCACTTCCGACAGCTTGCTCCAAAGCTGGTCGGCGCTGCGTCTGCCCTAGGGCGACTTTTGCCCAATATGGGTGGACCCAGCGTCGCGACAAGACGGCTGTACACGGGGGTTGTCCGGTCAATGGCACTGTACGGTGCACCGGTGTGGGCGGCGGCTCTGACCGCCCAGAATAGGGTACGCCTCTGGCGCCCTCAGAGGGTAATGGCGGTCAGAGCCATACGCGGTTACCGCACCGTTTCGACGGAGGTGGCGTGCGCATTGGCCGGAACTCCCCCGTGGGATTTGGAGGCGGAAGTGCTCGCCGAAGTTTATCGGCGAGTGGCTGACTTCCGGGCGGAGAGCGGATTTCGCCCTCCGCCCGAGGATGTGCGCGAGTGGCGCGAAGCCGCTCGCCGAGCCACGATGGCTCGTTGGTCGTTCCGGCTGGAGACTCCACGCGCTGGCTTCGCCGCCGTGGAGGCTCTCCAGCCGGTCATCGCCGAGTGGGCAGGGCGGCAGCACGGGACCCTTTCCTTCCGACTGACGCAGGTGCTTTCCGGGCACGGTTGCTTCGGAAAGTACCTGCACACGGTCGCCAGGAGGGAACTGAGTCCCGCCTGCCACCACTGCGACTGCATTGAGGACTCGGCCCAGCACACGCTGGCGGTCTGCCCCGCATGGGCGGCGCAGCGCCGGGCCCTCACTGCAGTCATCGGAGTGGATCTCTCGCTACCGGCCGTAGTACGCTCCATGGCCGGTAGCGACAGTTGTTTTACCGCGGTCGCAACCTTCTGCGAGGTAGTAATCTCGCGGAAGGAGGCGGCGGAGAGGGCCCGGGAGGACGACCTCCACTCGGACCCGATCCGCCGCCGGCGAACCGGGCGGCGGAGGCCCGCCTACCACAGCCTCATGCCGCCCTGAGTGTGGCCGCGGGTGGATGGGGTGGGTTTCCCCTCCACCCGCATTAGTTGGCCAGCCGCGAGGGGGCGGCGTCCGCGTGTGCCGGACGTCGCCTAAAGAGAGGAAAATGTATTGAGACGGAGCCCGCACCAGGAGCGGGCTGGCGCTAGGAGGGGTCCGGATGTCTTAACAACAGCTGTTCCCGGATCCCTCCTGTTACAGGCGCAGAGTGGCACACCGTGTGGTTTTAGTCGGTCCGAGTCCGACACACCACCCCGCCGCAAACCCCGGAGGGGTGACGGTCCGAGGGGATTTCCACACGTTAAAAAAAAAAAAAAAAAAAAAAAGGGTTTGTTTCAAGTTTTCCTTCTCTTTGCAGTGCTGTTGTCCAGCGGAGTTTGTTTCCTTAGTCGGCTCTTACGACACCCACGGGATGAATAGAAGTGGTGACATTCCGTATTCTTAATCCGTCACCACACGGGCATTAAGTACCTAATGTATTTTTATTACTTAGTCTATAGGTCCAATTCAGATAATAATAATTCCATTTTACCATATTTTGTACCTTGCCTGTTACTGGACAAGGTACAATTTCCTAATTAACATTAATAAGAGTGAGGAAACTTTCTCCATCTATATAAATACGTGGGCATATATTACATATTAAGTTATTATGTATCTGTCAATGGCCTTTGACGGATGCGATGCTTGTTATCAATGCAATTTCTCAGTTAATATATGATAAGTAAAAACATAATTATAATCACATATGACCGATATAGTCTAAAGTCAGTTGAAGAAGAATATTATAGGCAAGATAAAACCTTAATAGGGTGTTGTCTGATAAGTTGACCTCCAGTTCGGGTACATTGAATTATTATCACTCCTTATAATAGGCGGGAGCTTATATTAACTTCCAACTTTCGAAAGCTGCACTTTCCTCGTAGTATTTTTCTATAACTTTCTACACAAGTGTTTTTTCAGGTTGAAAGGTTTTTATATTTTTTGGTTTGAATAAAATATGGACATACATTAACTTGTTATATTTATGTGTGTACATATTACGTCATATTTTGGATGAATGGAAATCTTCACTCAGCATCTACTATATTAGGTATTCGTCATTAGGCTGAGTCATAGCTGCCAGTAACTAATTTTTTTTTTTTTTTACATTTTCCCCGTTTTCGCAACATTTTTCATTGATGCTCGGCTCCTGTTAGTGTTAGCGTGATATTATATAGCCTTTCACGAAAATGGCTATCTAACACTAAAAGAATTTTTCAATTCGAACAAGTAGTAGGGCGATCTCCGAGGTGTGTGGTTGTCTCCGACAAATGGGGCTGTACAGATTAAACTGTTTATTTTAAATAAATGTCTTGACGGTAACTTATTGCGCTTTCAAACTTTATTTGTTTAACCGAAGGTGATGAATTTTCACATCATATACTTTACGTTCTGTTCGAACAAATGAAAATATATCTGCCTGTAACATGATAACATCTACTATGATTTCGTTTTTAGTTGTGTTCGTTTCAAAAATTATTGTGCTGATATAAAATAGCACAGCCTGGCAAATCAATTTAAAATAGTAATTTGACACTATTCAAAACCACCGACAGACATTTTACAACGGTAACAATGTGGAAGAAAGAAACAAGATAAAAAAGTAATTGGTACAATGACCGTGTTTCTTATTATGCAGTACTATTACTCAGCCTTGAAGTAGACACAAGATTTTGAACCTTGATAATTTATTCAAGCTCATGCATTTTACTAAATAACAGATTCCTATCAATGTAAAACTGGGCTTCTTGTAAGACTTCAGTCAACACTATCTTGGACTGCCTGCAACCAGGTGTGTTCTTCCACCTTTGATTTTGGACTTTATGATTATGTTGCCTCACCCAGGACCTAAGCCTGTGCAACCACAGCACAACAACTTGTGGGGGGCAACATATTATGGCAAGCACAGAAAAACCACTTAGCATTTTTTGATATATTAGCTGATCCGTGCAACCTTAAAGGTAAAACATTTTTTCATTGATGCTCGGCTCCTTTTGGTCACAGCGTGATGTTACATACTCTAAATCCTTCCTTGACAAATGGGCTATCCAACAGTAAAATGTTTTTTCAATTCGAACCAGAATCTCTGAGATTAGCTTGTACAACTAAACAGACAAAAAACTCTTCAGCTTTATAATGTTATTATAGTTTACAGAACTAGATTTCTGAATTTTTTATGTAGCTTGATATCTCCTTTTAAGTTTAATCACAAATGTTATTTGACAACTTAAAAATATGTTGATCCTTTGTGACAATATTTCTTTGCTATTTATATCTAAATACATGATAATTTGAATACTGTGTTTATGTTGTTGATTCAAAACTCTAGATTTAATAATGTTCGTAAATTTGAAAAGTTCCATGTTTATCATACTGACGATGGCCATAAATATTTGGCATGAAGGGACATTTTGTATGGGATCAATTGAGTTAACCCCCACTATAGGTTTTGATATAATCCACGGCTCTCTAAGGTTATACACAACTTACTTCCATAACACAGTTGAAAAATGTAAGGTTTATATAGACCTTACATTTTTCAACTGTCATTAAGCTTTCACAAACAACAGTCACAGGTACTTCAACAGTCAAAGTTTTGTAGGTATTAAATATATGTTGCTTTATTTACAACAGTATCAAAGTTCATTCAGATATAAAGTAGTTGATAGGGGAATAAAATAATAAGCACAAAAAAAAAATGAACAGGGACTTTACTTGAGATAATGGAATGATATAATGACAATATCATTTGATTGTAAGTAAAGGTATCACTGAAGGCATAAATAATAAGAAAATTCCTAGTTTCATTTTCTTTTCAATTTAAGAACACATTGGTTTTGAAAATTCACACATAACAAATATTAAAATTAATTAAATTATTAGGTTTTAAGCAATAGGGTCAAAGAGAAAAATAAATAAATTATATTTAATAAAAACTTAAATAAAGTTATCCCTTTTAAAAATACAAAAATGCAAAAAATATTTATGAATATGTTTATTAATTATAAACTATGCATTTTAGCACAGAATAACATTACAATATAGAACCTGTTTTGACCAAAAACCAGTCTAAGATATTAGATATTTAAAATATTCTAGTCAGAAAAAAATCTACTTAGAATATATAATTTTTCTTACCTCACTATTTTCAAATCCATCAGGATTCAGTGACGGCATCAAATGTATATCTGTAGTATTAACAAGCTTAGTCACTCTTTCATCTTTGCCATAATTTGCCAACAAATATTCCGCCAAATATATCACTAGTTGTCTTCCAATTGACTCGTCACCATGCATGTTGGCTACATACTTAAAAGATGGTCTTTCATAGTGTAGGTTCTTCACATCTTCACTTATTTGTAAAACGACTAATTCTCTTCCTTCTACTGACTTCCCAATTGAGTACGACTGCACTAGATCCGGATATGTCGCTTTTAATTTTTCGGTTAACTTCAGTAAATCTGCATACTTGGTATACTTGGGAGACTCCAGGAATTGCTCTCCATTTTCCTCAATAGACCGTGCCACACAACGCTCAATAAAAAGGGGAAATAACAGATATAAACACGTGTGGAGTAACATTTTTGGTCCTGTATCAGGAGACAGTCATGTGCGCGGGTGAATTATAAAATACAGCTTATAAAAAAAACATAAACACTAGTTTATCACTGTACACATGACAGCGCAACCACATATATGTCTAAAAAGATAAGAACAGTAACTATTTGTGATTTGTTATATTGACAGCTGACGCATCAGTGTGTGACAAGTTGAAGAAGAAAGTTCAGTATTGTCAGACCAGGTTTTAATTTTACCTTGTTAAGGTTAATCCTGTTTTTTTTATGGATTTAATTTAAACAGAAGTCGACGACAGACAATGGAGTACAGATCATCCTAACTTTAATAAAAAGATAAGAAGTTATCAGTAGTTTCTGATACCTGAACTTCTTACTTTTTATTCCTAAATCTGCTCTAAACAAATATACGAAACGGAACCTTGGAATCGAATTCAAAACGCAACACATCTTACTTTCATACCATCCGTAATGCCATTGTGTTTTTTATGCAAGGACTTTTCCTTTACCGATACTGTACTGGATCTTTATTGATATTTTAAGATGATATACGTCTTTATCCAAACTTAAAGTTGTAGGTGTGTATAAAAAAATAGTATCAGTGGTTTATCATAAACGTAATATAAATATTTATGTCCATTATAGTAGTTAATATATAATATTGAGAGCATGATGTGAACATCTTTATTAATTTTTAACTGCAAAATTAAATAGATCTTCAACCTATTTTTATAACGAATATCAAGGATCCTCCGAGTTCCGAATGCAATACTGTAGTATATACTGAAATAACCTATTTAACGATCTGTCACTAAAGAAGTATTGCTCGTGAAATTTTTCGAAATCAAAATGATTATTTGGATCTACGATGTACGCATTTTTTACCCGGAGACAAGTTTTTTATTTAAGGCTTGTATTATTATTGTTCTATAGAAATATGTCATTTGACGTGTCATTTGTAATGTTTCATTCTACGCATTAAACAAGCTACTGTTTCTTACTCGTAATCTATACTAATATTATAAAGCTGAAGAGTTTGTTTGTTTGTTTGTTTGTTTGAACGCGCTAATCTCAGGAACTACTGGTCCGATTTGAAAAATTCTTTCAGTGTTAGATAGTCCATTTATCGAGGAAGGCTATAGGCTATATATCATCACGTTAAGACCAATAGGAGCGGAGCACCAATGAAGAATGTTTCAAAAAAGGAGATAATTTATTACTATTGAGAGACGCAGACGAAGTTGCGCGGGTCAGCTAGTCTTAGATAAAATTAGGTTTCATTTTTGTCAGTACTTCCTTATTTCTTGTTTTGGTACGACTTTTTATTGACGTCCGACGAGTTGGGGGTTGATATTTTTTTACAGAAAGGATACATTATTATAAGCACACACGAAAAGTCTTAACATGTGGAGACGCGAGTTTAAAAAAATAATAATATTGCAGCATATATATAATGATATTGCATTATTTTTGCAATATTTATGTCAATCCCTACCACAGATTATATAGAATTTTAGCCATTCAACGTTTCATTTTAGCTACGGTTAAGTTGTTATACATTCGGTTACATTTTATTTTATATAAATTTGCGTAAATATTTTATTTCAATAGTTTTCATGCACAGATATATTTAACAGTTTATATATATTAAATTACAGCATTATGTTCATTACGAGCTTTTAAAATGTGTAGTTCTTACGGTCTTTTGCCGGCTTGTGGAACGAAACGTAAAACTGACGCCATTTATAAATTACTAGCTGACCCGCGCAACTTCGTCTGCGTCTCTCAATAGTAATAAATTGTCTCCGTTTTTGAAACATTCTTCAATGGTGCTCCGCTCCTATTGGTCTTAGCGTGATGATATATAGCCTATAGCCTTCCTCGATAAATGGACTATCTAACACTGAAAGAATTTTTCAAATCGGACCAGTAGTTCCTGAGATTAGCGCGTTCAAACAAACAAACAAACTCTTCAGCTTTATAATATTAGTATAGATTAATTTGTTTTATCAACCCCCAACTCCAAGGACGTCAACGGAAAGCTGAGCCTTTGTTTTACTCTTTGTTCTACTATGTTACACCGTTCTTAAATGGCTAATAGTGTCTGCAAATATACAGAGAGTTTCATTTCCTATCCCAAATACTTAAGCCACATATTCTGCCCTTAATTTCTAGGCGATTTGCAAAATATGAACAAAATATATCCAGTAGTTTAGCCACAGGACTCATTTTTGTGTTTCGTAAATTGCAACATCATGTGTACATGCATTCATAATACATTGACCTCAGGCGGCGATCAGCTGTAGGTATACGCGGTAATCACACGTTGCCGCTTTTACTACACCCGAATCGAACGAAATATGTTGATTATTACGTCATCACGATGCAACACGCGTTTTTAATTAGTTCATCCAGTAAGGACAGTCAGTCGGCCCTTGGCCACCGGCGAGCTTATGCTATTCCGTATCCTTGTAGATGCGCTCACGACAAATAACCGTAATAATAATATTGTTGTTGTTTATGAGATACATATTTGTTTAGAGAAGTTTTCTTGTGGTAATAATTGTTTAGTCTTATTGCTTTCGTCATAATACACGGCAATGGTGTGAACAATTAATGTTATCGTGTGCGCAAGACTTCGTAATGTAAGGAGTCCTGCTAATTTTATTTTGAAAAGTCACTATTAGGTTCTGTGTGTAGTGTAGTGTGAAACTGAGTGCATTATCAGTCTTTTAATTTTATTGGGTTATCGATATCAACATCCATAATGCCGTGAGTGACCTTCACAGCCGCGGAATATGCCTGCCTGCTATGATGTTAATTTATGGAAAACTCTATCAAAACGCATCTTTTGCTTTACGGACACGTATGGAGTCAATCGTGTATGTCCTACAGACTGCCGAATTTTTGTAAGGGCGGTACAAAGATTACGAGACAACCAAGGTAACTACTTTTTCAAGGAGTGACGCGTACTGCTGGGTCGGAAGCTAGTCGAGCATTCACGAAATAAACACGTGAATAAAATCGCATTCTTTATAAATAGATTTTTAAAAGCAAGTGAAGTGATTGGTAGGTAGGTAATAAGAATGTAAAGTTCGCCGGCTCGCGGCGGCGGCGGCGTCGTTTTGATGTCGCCGACATTGCGACGCTGCCGTGTAGGTACAGTTCACCGACTCATGTTATCAATGGTGTTCTAATTCGGAAATTATTTTATTGTATTTAGTTTGTTCTAAATTTGCATTTCTGTATTTTCGTACTAATTTTTTATTTTTTTATTTTAACCGACGTATATTGAACCGTGTTATCTGTTATTTCATTTTTTGTGATATCTATACCGCCACAGTGTATTTAAAGCTGATATTTGTGCATTTGTATGTAGATACATCTCTCGGCGGAGTGTAGCGCAAATTTGTTGTTGAAGCTTGCCTTTCCTTACGGACCCAATCGACTTGATACAAGGGTAAATAGGTTTATCTAACAAAGAGTGTCCCAATAAATTATATACCAAAAGTGAAATAACTTTTTACTTACCTCTTTTCATTTCGTTATTTTATGGTATAGGCGACAAACGGACAAATAGGTCACCTGGCAATAAGTGACAACGGCCGCCTATAGACACTTTTGACTCAAGAGTCACAAGTGCGTTGGCTTCCTTTGTATCGTGTCCACCTCCTACGACTTGAATAGGATTAGGCTCCGGCCACCTTGCCTTGTGGCCTTGCCGGTCACAAACATACATGAAACCTACAGAAAAAAAAACACCTGGACTCAGAACAACAATTTGTGGATCACACAAAGTGGTGTCTCATGTGAGGATCGAACCTATAACACTCAGCGCAGTAGGAAACAGCGAAATAACTCCGGTGTTATAACTCAGGTCGAGCCGGCTCATTTATGGCTATTGCAGCATGGCTCTCCCACGGTTAAATTGCCGATTGTATAGGTGCTTCCCTCCTTAAAATGAACTGGAAAACTATTACTTTAACCTTTTGGATTACGTGGGTTTCCCTGTACCTGGACCTTTACTGCTAAATCCAGAAAGTCCTAAAACCTGCTTGAAACATTGCAAAAAAAGCCTAGAAATGCAAAGTCACTCATCACTACGTTTTTTAAAGACAGATAGGTAGGACTATAGATGCGAAGCCGGTTAATAATGATTTTAACCAAGCGGTTAAAAATGCATTTTTTGTTATTAACGTTTATTAACCGCATTTTATGCTTGTGTGTGAATTTGATACAAACATCATGATTGTGATTAAAAGACTCCTGAGACAATACAGACTTGAAATAAAAAAATGGCAATCATAATTTTATTAATGAATAGTTAAGGTAGAACAATAGACAGTGAATTCGATCATTCGAAACATCAACAGGCCTAAACTATTGGTCGTTGGTGGGTCTCTGCCGGCTCACAGTAGTACATAAATTCATTTGATTCTCTTCATTATCGCTGCATGACAATATAAAGATAAAAAATGCGTGTAAACATAACTTTTTAACAAAAATAAATTATGTGTATAGTTACAGCTTTTAATAACCTCTTTATTTGAAAAAAATAAAATATAGTCTTAAATCCTGAAATTATTTTTTATTTTATTATATTTGGGGAGCTTACGGCTAAATTTACAAAATACATATTATGTTAATTATCTAGATGCCATTTACAAGCTTCCACATGTAGACAGAAAACAGTGCTGGTATCTATAATAATACATACTAAATAGACTTACATATACATAGATAGTTACAACAGTTTAGGATCTAAAGATATAACATTTTTGAGGTTTCTGGTGCTACTGCAGAATAGATCTATGAGTTCACTGTGGTTTAGTCTATTAAAAGATCTAGAAACCCTGGGTATGTAGCTGTTATACCGATAATTACTGTGGCAAAATGGAACATGGAGTAGACTACTGGAACGCAAATTTCTGGTGGGCATATTAAGTTTAATATTGCAAAGGACATCAGGACAGTCTAACCTGCTTTGAGCTATATTTAAGAGGAGAC